TCTTCAGCCTCCGTCGCCTGTTTAACATTCTATACGCCAAACATGAGACAGGAGCTGTTGTCATCGCTCTCAATGCACAACATGCTTTTGTTTAGATTGAGTGGCCATACATAATGTATGTCTTAGAGAAATTTGGATTTGGACCTATTTTCCTGCAGTGGATACAAATTATGTATAAACAACCAACCGCATCAGTTATTTCCAGTCAAAATATTTCTTCTCCTTTCTAGTATACAGAGGAACTCGTCAAGCCTGTTGTTTTTCCCCATATTTGTTTGCTATTCTTATAGAGCCACTTGCTATAAGCATACGTCAGCATACAGAAATAATGCATATCAAGATGAAGGGAAGTCTGCAATATATATCTCTGTATGCTGACGATGTATTGCTGTATGTCTCCAACCCTTCAGTGTCATAAAAAACATTTATGTAAACTAAAGGCAGGTGGTGGTTTTGGTCTACCTAATTTTAAACTGTACTATTGGGCAGCAAACTTAAATGGTGGAAACAAGGCCCAACAAACTCATGGTGAAAACAAGGCCCAACAGACTTTACAGCTAACTGTCCTGCATGGTTGTCAATAGAAAGGTCTCTCTGCAATAAAACCACACTACCTGCCATACTTACATACTGCCATACAGCCCTAATAAAGTGAATAAATCGTTATACAATGGGCATTTTATCGTAAGCAGTGCTCTTAAGATATGGAAGCAGATCAAAGCACATATAGATAGCCCAGATACATACCTGGATAGCCCCATACGTAGAAACCATGCCTTTCCCCCTGCTAAAACTAAGCTTCACAGGTTTTTCCAAATATTTCCCCTTTATGTAACAAATTTAATGCAATGGAAGGTACACTGATACATTCGTTATGGGCATGTAGCAAGCTACAGACATTTTGGAGCAGTATATTTAATTGCCTCTCAAAAGCATTTGGGAGGGACTGGAAACCTGATCCACTTTGGGCTGTGTCGGGAACAACTAATGACTCGGTAACCGTGGAGAAACAGGAATGCCAGGCCATTCTTTTTAGTATGGTTATTGCAGGCCACAAATGTGGAAACAAGAGTCAATACCAACATATGAAATGTGGATAAAGGAAGTAATCAATGTATTGCATTTGGAGAAGCTACAATTTTTAAACAATGAACACTTAGAGCAGTTTGATAGAACATGGGTTCTTCTGTTTGTCTATTTCGAAAAGGACCAAGACTAACCTGGTTCAACTTGTGTGATACCTGTTGTTGTATGTAAGTGTATGTCTAAAAGCTGACACCCTGGTACATTGTTTATTTTTTAATTTTTATTTATTCATTCTTTTTCTTCGTCCTGTACAATGTAAGCCTCCTGCACTTTTAATGTTGTTACTAATTTGAAAATATAAAATAACCGCTTAAAAAAAACACAACACTAAAAATATTATATATGAAAATAAAATTGAAATCTTTAGCAATTTACATCATAATGATTCCACTTTATTTTAATAAGCAAAGACAAGACAAATGACAATAAAACAGAAAAACTTGATGTCAATTTTGGTTATTAATAAAATATTTTTATGTTGAAATTAATTACACGATCATTTTTAAATTTATTATTACATATGATTATTATTGTTAACAACAATTATAGTATTATATTGTAGACAATTAAACATGATGGAACAGATCAAAGATATGCAAAACTCACATACAAACTCATCTCAAGCAAGATAGCTAAATTCTAGATAACTATCTAACTAAACCAAGTTTTCGGCTCCATAACCCTACCATACACACATAACCATATATGTAATTTTTTTATCTATTTTCCAATGACAAAATTTATCAACTGACCCCAAAATAAGGCTCCAGGAGAATACATATTAAGAATGCAGTGATTCAGTTGTCACCCAAGTAGTAATATTCTTTCTAATGAAAAAGTGGGGTTTAGGTCAGTTCCATTACAACTAAGCCTTTCTAAGGCGTTTGACCGCTTGTGGACTACAGTAAACGCCCTTTCGGTGTATCTCAGCGTCTATAAAGACAATTTCAATATTGTATACGTTCAGTCAGCTAAGTCAATGCTTTAGCGTTCTTTCTCATGAAATTGTGATTTTAGATCAGTTCCATTACATTGTTAAGGCATTTTGTGACACCAATGTCCGTTTATAAACATTATAATGTCTTCACTTTAAGATAACACTGCGTAGCGTTTCTATATTTTCCAAGACGATTGACCGCTTGTGGAGTGCAGTATACGCCTATTCAGTGTATCTAACGCCTAAAACCTCAGTTTCATAATTGTACAGATTGTGTCACTCAAGCTGAAGTAGTAATATTCTTTCTAAGGAAAATGTGATTTTAGGTCAGTGGATGATATTCTTGTCCTCAGGAGAACTCAAGCAGAGCATGACCAGCCACTCACAGCAGCAGTAACCAAACTTCAAGATGCAGGAGTGACGCGGCACAATAAGTGTACGTCAAATTGGGGCCTTTCATAGTGAGAGAAAATAAAAATCACAAAAATGTGGTCTCAGTGAGTTTGTCTCAGTGAGAAAATAATTAGATATTGCAAACAAAGAGAAATTGTGCTACCTTTTTTTCTCTTGCAACATCTTTTTAGGATAAATCTTTTGCCACACAATTTTTAATTTTTTTTTCTGCAGTTCTTTCCCTTTCTGCGTTACTCTTTTTTGTTTGCGCGTCAGTTTTGACCTCTTTTTGATTTGTGGGCCGTGGGAAGAGGAGAGAGGTGTGGCCGAGATGGAAAGGTATGTCATGGACGTTTCAAACTCTTTTAAAGGCACATTATAAACTTTAGAAACTGTGAGAACAGAGCCAATTGCCATATCTCTGACCTGTAATTACATCTCAATGAGCTGAATCAATAGCCACCATGGTCCTGTATAGGACATGCAGTCATAAAAACATAAAACCATTAAAGGCACCCCCAGGTTATACAGAACCCAGTGCAGACACAAATGTCGGAGCAGATTTGAGTTCTTTAAATGCATCCTTAAAAAAAACTGCACTTTTATCTGCAGCCAAAGTTATTAAATGGTTGGTTTATGATTCACAGTAGTTTTACATACAGCCTATTTTCCTGCTCATGTATAATTGGCTATAAACACGCTCCCACAGAAGCTATTGTTATTTTAATTGATCCTCCTCTGTGGGAATGGCAGAAGACTGAGTTGCTTTGTGGATGAGCTTTTGTGGATGAACAGTTTACCTGTCATTTTGGGGATGACAGCCCCACCCACATAGTTGGACTGAGTTTTTCCCAGTCCAACTTAATTTACTCTTTGCCTCAAGCTTCTTCTTTTTGCATGTGCAAGGATCCATTTTACCTCAGTAGTGGCATGCATTCTCATGTGTTCTCTGGCTTTGCTGACTCCCTGTTCCACGGGACACATGCTGTAATACAGTAGTCAAGTGCAGCTGAGAGACTTCAGCTTGTGAAGTCTCACCATCAGCTATTTGAGCACCACCAACTTTACTGCTAATCACATCTTCAGCTGCTTCATCAATCTTTGACCTTTCTCCTTCAACAAGCTACTGTAGCTGTTTCTATGACAGTCAGATCAAGACCAGCTCGATCAGAATTGCCTTCACTGTCCCTGGAAAGGGACTGCTCCTTCTTAAGGGAGGGGTTAATTTGCTTTTCCTTTACCTTAACATGGTGAAGCAACTCATCTCTCTCTCTTTTTCAAGTGACTTAACTTTTGCTTGTAGGACACAGAGTGCTGACTTTGTTCTATGCGCTGTTGGTGCTCTGTTCTTAGAAAGCCATGCTACTGTTTAAATACAGCTTTTATGCTATGCCACTGACCCCCCACCCCCAAGTCCTCAGAGCCTTAGATCCTGTTGTCAAAACCTTACTGTCGTAAAACGACCAGAGTTGATGTCGTAAACTGAGTGCTCCACGTCAGGAAATCCTCCTTAGGGGGTGTTGTAAGGCCATTGGCTGTAACTTTTCAAACCACAGGAACAGAAATGGAGGTGGCTTCCTAAACCGTTCAGTATTAATACCGATTAACAAAGAATAACAACTTAAAACAAAGGAAACAGAAAACGATGTGATGAGGCGAAGTTGCAAGGGACACATACCATCAGAAGGCATATATCCTCCTATCTAGACAGCATTACTGACTAATTTGAATCTGAGCTCATGAGAACTGAGCTTTTGAGATCTGTGAAACATATAAAGCCATGGTACCTTCCAATGTACTATTTTTTCCATTATTATTTTCATCAGTCCATTGTCTGACTTGCATTACATGATTTAAGATTTGAATAATTTTCTTATTTTTCTGGCCTATTTTTTTCTCTTTCACTCAAAATGAGATCATTCTGCCTTATAAGTTTAAATACTTTTGGTAGGACCCTTTAGCACACAGCTAATGCAAACCCAGTTTCTCTAATGATTTAAACATCAAAGTGTCCACACAGGACTTGTTAAATCAGCATATTCTTACTAATGAACACAACCCTAGCCATTATATTTCACCCTCTCATGTTACAACCTGTCCAAAAATTGTAACTCCACCATGAAACCTCCAAACAATTAATTTTGAGAAGAATCTGATGATACAAAACATGACAAAAACACTGGATTTACTCATTTAAAGTAATACAAAGCTCTCCTCTGGATTTACTGAATTTCTTTGTCAGATGTCATATTAAACTAAAGTTTCTACAAGTAATGGTATGCTTTCAATGTGTTTAGCACAGATTTTGATGTTGCTGTAGAAAAAATTGGTGCTTGGTGTGCAGTAGCCTACACCACAAGAAATTGTTTAAACAGTATATATCACTTTGTCCTAGGCTGACACTAACATTAGATAACGTTACATTAGCCTGATCTCTGGTTGTGGTAGCCAACACTACTAGTTCAAATTAAAATTGCTTTAAATCTAGCTGACCTAACCTTTTGATATATTTTTTTTCATTTTATTTTTTTTTATCATCATCATCATTCTTTATTTAAAAAAAAGAAAAAAAAAAGAAAGCCTGTTCCATGGCGCAACATACCATCTTTATTCCTCACAACTCACAACTTACAAATTGAAATTGACCAACAAATTGCATTACAGTGAAAAACTGCAAAAGCAGTCAAGGTCTGTGCTACAAAATATAGTTTACGCTGACTGAGGGAGAAGTGAATTGGAAACTGTTTGGTTTGTAACAGCAGCCAGTAAGGAACATTAACCCGGTATGAGAAAAGAGGAAAGTGATGTTGAAGTAACACTGTAGTCTAACAGGTTGAGTAAAGGGCCCCTATGTATAAAACATCTTGAAATTAAGCGTGCTGGCGATCAGTTAGCTCTGACACTGTAATTATTACGTTATGCAAGGTTCGAAAGGAAAACACTGATGCTAAATCAGCACCCTTACTCAGGAAAGTTTATACATCTGGTCCCAGATCAAGGCAGTTTATAGTGTGTTCATATGAAGCGAGTGATCTATTCTCCTAGTGAACCAAGTAGGAAATGTACCTAACAGAAAAAAGTGTTAAATTTGACCAAATTAAGCACATTTTTTTCCTTGGTCACCAATCATTGGTGACTTCTTGGACTGGGTATCAAAATTCAATACTTTTATGATACTGACCCAATTACTTACACTAGTACTTAAGAGTATTCCATGTCATTCAATACCAAATTTCAGTAGCTAAGTAGTAAGTCTTACTAGCATCAGGAAATCAGTAAGCCTATTCCCAAAATCTAAAATCTAAACTGCTGATTGGCTCTCTAAATTACATTCACTAGACATGTTTTGAATATCAGTGTTTCCTAATTACTGACCACAGTGGATTGCAGACGAACTACATCCACCTCCAGCACCTCACGCTCATTTCTGTTGCAAGACACACCCACTTTCTATTTGTAATTTTAAAAAGTTATCAGAAAAAGTATCACATGGGAATGGGTATCGAAGCCAAGATGTCAAAAAAAAAAAAAAGAATGATATCCAGCCCCGTTCATGTCTTTTGGTTTTGTTTTTCTATTGGTGCAAATTGTGTATTCTGAAACAGCCAGTTATTGCCAGTTGACTGCCTGTTAGATTTGACCTAAAGTTTCAGGTTAAAAGCAAAATAACTCTTTATGAGAAGACTGAAAACAATTAAAAACACAGAAAAGTTGAGTTAGAAAACTGAATGCATAAAAATGCCTTAATTTTTTTGCCTATCAACTTCATTTATGGCTATGACTGTTCTCTGTGTGCTTCTGGCATCTTCTTTTAAAACAACTCCATTCTATGATATGTACATCTCCTCAATATATCATATCTTAGTTAAACAATACTTCTTAACAAAATCTTTTAGACTGCAATCTTAATCCCCATGTATGGGAATATCAGTATTTATAAAACACAAAAATCACCATCTCTGCATGACAGTTAAACCTCTGCACAGATTTAAAACACTCCTGTATCTCCAGTATAATCACTGTACAGGAGCAATTAAAGATACAATTTACATACATTAATAGCCAGACATTCCTTGCCACTGTTTTATGTAGTAGTCGGAAAACATGGCCGCCAGCATGCTGTCTTAGTCCAAAGTCCTGAGCTTGATCAATCAGTGCCAGTGACCCTTTGTCCAAGCAGCGGTCAGTAGCTGCTGTTTTTGAACTCTCCGTTTTCTGTGATGGAGAGTTTGGTGGGGTTAGTGGGCGAGAGGCCGTTGCGGAGATTGTGCATGCTGTAACGCTCTTTGACCTGAGTGAGGGCGCTCATGAGCCGTGCATTAGCAGCATCCAGGGAGCTGATCCGTTTCTCCTGTAACAAACACACATAGACATGTCAGAGTGCCCTGTATAAGACAAGAATGTTTAAAAAAAATAATAATTTGACTAAGTAGTATACATTTCTAGAAATTCAAAGAACAATTTACACCTAATGCATTAACGTAATGGTTCCCAATCCTGTTCCTGGACACCTGCCCTGCATGTTTTGGTGCTTTCTCCGTTCTTACATGCCTGATACAACAAGTGAACTAATCCATGCTCTGCCCACAAATGCATTCTTTGGTAGCTACTGTTTCAATTTTTCTTGGAATGCTATGAGAATGCCGTCTTTCACTTGGTTGTATAAGTTGGGGATTGCCGTTTTGCAAATCCCCAACTTCCTGAATCCTGGCAGTTCTGCAACAATTCTTTGAACGCAGGTTTTTCTACAGTACTGAATGGCAGCATTTCTTTGGCTATAAACCGTTTTACATTGTCGGTTAATGTGTGCCATCTAGTACTGTTGCGTTGATATTTAGATACTCTACACGTGACAAGTTGTTCGCAAATGACATGTAAAATAGTTTGCTTGTGCGTTCTCGCAGTTTGCATGTTGAAGTCAGTGTGCTTTACGAATGTAGCTTGCATGACGCTAAGCCGTGTAAGCTTCCACCAAACGTGCCTTGACCGATCAGCTACATTACAATTAAAGAGGGGAAAGACATTTTTTCCCACTAAACAGTAATTAAGATAAACTTGTGCTCATTCAGTTATTTGTCTCACCTTATTTGTTGCGATGAAAATGCACGCAATTCATAAAATGTTGGTTGGAGTTGAAATAAAATAACTGGAAAAGATTGCGGTCAGCACAAATCATCACGATTAGCTCAAATAATTGCGATCAAGCAGTTATGCAATAATCGCGACAGGTCTACCAGAAAAGAATCTGAAACAACACATTTGTCGGTGGAGCATGCATCGATCTATTAACAAGCACTTAAACAGTTGATGTAGGTATATTAGAAAAGGGAAATCAGTAAAATAAGTAGGGCACTACTACTCCAAAACCAAGATTGGGAATCGCTGAATTAAAACATAATCAGAAAATAAAACAAATAAGCTAAATGATGGCTGTTTGGAATGGTGTGGACTAGAGATCAACAGCAGCTCTTATGTGTTCAGGAAGGTGCGTGTTTATGCACGGTGTAAGAGAACAGCCTTCAGAGGTGCAACAAAAGCATGAGGCACTTTCTGAAGACAGCAGAAATGCCTGACTAACATCTGAAATAAACTCATCACATGACAGGCAGCAAAAACTATGTTAAACAAAAAAAAAAAGAACGAGGGTTAAGTTTTGTTAAGAGTAATCAAATAATAGTGAAGGCCAGTGACTAGATGCAGAGTTTGGGGCTGAGGTTGCAAGTGATGCATGATGGTGGGATATGGAAGGAACTGAAGGAGGGCTGGGCAGAATAGCAGCCAATGCTCAAGCTTCACATACCATTAAGTCAACCTGCTAAGAGTGCCCCTAGTCAGCACACATTCCCCAACATTACACACCTCAGCACATTATTCACCTATTTAAAGTTCAACAATACAGTTATAATAATAGGATGAAACAGTATGAACAAATCATCGTTTTGCTCATACATTTTTAGATATGACCTCTTTGTAGGTAACAGTTTTTTTCAATTTTTGTTAAATATGAGCTTAAGATCTATTATGTTATATGTTAGCATTTCAGTAATTTATTCTGATCTATGCTCTTCTTGAAACTTGTAAACATGTATAAAGCTTTGTAGAGTTCAAGCATGCAGTGCTGGAACCCTATTGTTTTTTGTTATGATTTTTCTTCTTCTTTTCTCCACTAAAACAAATTATGCAGACCAAACCATAAGTTGTACAGGCATGAAACTTGGTTAATATATAGTACTCCCTCCTACTACTCAGGAGCACACATGAGCTCAACTGGCCTAAAGGAGTGCTACTGCGTTTGGCCTTGTAACTCTTAAACCAGAATTTTTAGAGACATAAATATGTCCTGATTCCTTGGACCATTTAGTTCTGCCACCTTAGTTTTTTTGCTAATTTGCATAATATGCAGGTTTTTGCTCAATCCCCTTGTAACTATCACCAAAAAATTCACAAGACCCTGAACCTCAATAATTATCAAAAATGTTGACTTTTGTAAGCAATATGGCTGCTAGGGGTGGGAATCTTTAGGCACCTCACGATTCGATTCGATTACGATTCAGAGGGCTGCGATGCGATTATAAAACGATTATCGATGCATCTCGATGCATCTTTTTTCTCTATGCATGATTTCTATCTTCCTACTGTCTGAGGACTTGGTAGTTTTAAAACAAAGTATTTGTAATGATCCATAATGTAAATGCATTACGGATCATTACAAATACTTTGCTTTAATTATCTAAAATATCTTTTATTAATAAGTCAAATGGAAGTGATGTGGCAAGTGAACTAGAAGGCTCTCATTCAGAGACGCTGCTGCCACTCATCTGCAATAAAATGCGCTGTTGCCCTGAAATAAGATCCAGTGGCAATGGGTGTCCACGCAGTACGTTACAACCACCCTTTTGGTCTCGTTGTAGAGAGTGGGGGGGTATTTTCGAGACTGGACGCTGAATCTCGGCTCCAAAGTGTGCAGCATAGCGCGAAAGCCCTGGTTCTCAACGACTGAGAACAGACAGCAGACAGCAGGTCACATAGCCCCGAAGTCTGGCCTCGCCAGTAGCGAACGAAAAAACAGAGATTAAGACGAACATTTGGATGACTTATTCGCATTTACAAGCAGCGCGGTTGGTTAAATCTGCTGAGAGACTGTCTTTCTCTAAAAAGTTGCGAAAATGAACTCACTTCTCTTTCGTATTTTCCTGTTCCACCTTAAATGGTGCAGCAGTTACATTCGGCGCCTAAGGCAGAATTTAAGGTGGAACAGGAAAATTAGAACGAGAAACTGGCGAATGAGAAGCGACTTCAGCCTCATAAAACAGCCGCATGCCGAGACATTTTACAAGAAACTCTTCTAGTTTTGAAGAAAAGTTTTCTGGCGGAGATGGGAGGAAAGCGACTAAAGCTAAAGCTTAAAGCAGGGTGAAGTAAATCTGCGCTCTCGTTTATATTTTTAGCCCATACTAGGACATTATCCCATACTGAGACATACTGGGCATTAAATGTTGTGGCTCCCAAGGTGGTTTGACTTCGTTGAAAGGCAAAATGGCTCTTCTTATCATTTGTGTTGAGACTCCTGACCTAACCTGGCTTTTAATGCAGAGGGAGCCTGTTGAATTTCTCGCTCCCCCAGTAGTGTTTTTGTTACGTGCCGCCACAGACTGTCCGGGCGCTGCACTTTCCCACTTCCAGTTCAGCCTTTTGCATTCCGTCAACATTAAGTTATAAATTAAATATTTAGAAAATCGATTTTTGACGTTGAATGAATCGATTCAGAATTGTTCACGTCCGCATCGCGATGCATCTAAGAATCGAGTTTTTCCCGCACCCCTAATGGCTGCCATATGCTAATTAATCCTTCTGAAATAATTCATAATTACCAAAAAATTTGAGAATGCTTCATCCAAAAAAATAGTATATCAATTTTAGTGCATGCACACTGTTAAGGGGCACTGTAACTTCTAAACAACGGTTTCTCAACATCTGGAGATCCAACCAAGCTGAAAATTTGCAAGCAGCATCTTATAGACAGATTATATGTGAGTTCCTAAGGTCGACTTGATAAAACTTATGGCTGCCATCAACTAGTTAGCTGTCAGCAGGTATTTAAAAGGCTTAACACCGACCAATCGTTATGAAACTTAAATGGTGTGTCTCTGCAGGGACTTTCTAATAACACAAAGTTACAAAATTTGGCCCTTTGAGGATGTCATTCATTGAAATCAAGTACATATTATGTTTCACGTACAAATTTTTAATTATGGTCACATAACAGTTTGTGAACCACATTTTTCAAACTAGTCTCTGGCTTTTGATTCTAACCTTTACGGAACTGGTCTTGAAACAGTCTTACGCACAAACAAGAGCATATGCTAGATCTTGTGATTACAAGTGGTGGTGCTGATATGAATGTACAGATTTAAGATATTGTGGGTTCTGATCATTGTATGGTCTGCCTTGACATTGCTGTACACTCAGATTCTCATAAGAACAGCCATAACAACTTTCTGTACACTTGAAATATTGATGTGAATTATCTTTTAGCCACACTAACTACTGTCCTCTTTGTTGCCTCTCATGCTTCTACACATGATGACTCTGTTGAACCATACAATCGAGTTTTAAATAATATTTTTAATATGAGCTGGCTCCTGAGAAAGTTCGTACTATGTCTTTCTTTTGCTCATCCCCATGGTATGTTTCTCAGCTTAGGGCTTTGAAAGCAGAGGGTGGCAAACTTGAACGCAAATAGAGGAAAACTTCTGTAGTAGTCCACCACTTGCCCTATAGAGAACACCAGCACAAATACTCTCTAGCATTAAAAAAAGCTTGGTCCAAACATTAGTCTGGTCTAATTAAGAGAAACAGTAGTAATCCCAGACATTTATTTTCTATAATTAGCCATCTTGCTCAATTCTAAAGAACCCAGCTTGGCTCCCTTCACTGATGTTTGTTGTCGTTTTCTTGATTTTTTTAAACAAAGCTACATAACATTGGAAATGATTAATAGTATAACTCAACACCCCTCTCCAAACGGTGTCTAAATTGAAGTCCTCTACATCTGCTCTAGATGCTCATCCTACTTCATTATTGAAAGTTTGTTTTCAAGCGATTGCCCTGTTGTTACATGTATTATAAATAGATCGTCAACAAAGGGTGTGGTACCATTGCTTTTTAAAACGGAATGGCAAGAAAACCACTGCTGAAGAAATATGATCTTGATCCTTCTGTTTTATCCAACTACAGGCCAATCTCCATCTTACCTTTTTTACCCAAAGTTTTGGAGAAGGTTGTTGCCAGCCAGTTACAATTATATTTGGAATCTAACATGCTGTATGAAGTTTTTCAGTCTGGATATAGTACATTTCATAGTACTGAAACAGCATTAGTTAATGATGGTGGTTAATGATCTTTTATTGGCAGCTGATTCTGGTTTTCCTAGCCTGCTTATTTTACTGGATTTGAGTGCAGCCCTCGATATATGGCCTATCAACCATGCTATTTTTTTGTGGCACATGCAGGCCATGTTTTAAACCGGTCTATGCCTATTTGACTGGGCATAAGGAGTGTGTAACCTTGGGAGGAAATCTTCTGCAACTGAATAATACTAAAGGTGAGGTTATTCTCATTGGCAGTTCCAGCCAGGTGAGAATAACCACAGAATTGACAATTTCGCTGTAAATGGTTATCATTGTCATCATGTGTGAGGAATCTTGACCCTACATTATCATTCGATTCTCATATTTTCTATGTTTGTAAAACTTCTTTTTACTGCCTATGGAATATTTCAAGACCTTTCTGACTTGTGTCGCTGAGAAGCTGATTCATGTGCTTGTGACCTTACGGTTAGATTACTGTAACGCCCTCTTGGCTAGACTTCCAAATAACAGTATGCAGAGATTGCAGTATGTTCAGAACTGAGCAGTGCATGTTTAACCAAAGCTCCATTTTTTTCACATCATCCTAGTTTCAGAGTCTTTGCACCGGTTACCCATTGGTTTTTATAAATTAGTTTGTGTTTTAAGTACTGCTCATAATTTATGGCAAATTTAGACCTTTTGACGAACTTTCACTTTTTATTCTTTCTCTGTAAATGATGTCCAAACTGCAATAGACCTTAGGCTTCACAGGCCCAAAATGTAGAAGGCCTCATTGTGCATATTTGTGCTTGAACCCTCAAATTGCCACTTGCAATTATATTTTGCATTTTAGCATTACTGGGTAGTTGGATGTGCTCAGAAGACAACGATTATGTAGCTTAATTAAATGTCATTATGTGGATGGCCAAATGAAGCTGTATGCAACTGTCTGGAGATTTACTGTTAAAGCCTTCCCTGTCACACATCTGGCCACAAACCGAAACATTAAGGAGCATTTCTGCATGGTCTACACTCTTGCGCTCCTTTGAGAATCAAACACAGGGCTAAAAGCTAGAACACCCAGCAGGATTGCAGCCAGGCATAGGTGCTTGGTTCGGTGGTGCTCACACAAGACTAGCCATCCTGTAGCAGTGGCAGAGTGCAGTAGTACTTGCCTGATTGTATTACCTCAGCTCCTTTAGGCACCTGCAGTTCAGCAGAACACAGTAACAACAAGCCAGTGAGCAGCTTCTCTGCTTCTACACAGTGTGAGCTTCAAAGAGACACACCAAGCCTATGGCTTGGCACGCTGCCCATGCCTTTAGCACACCAATCCTTCGAACACTATCTTCAGTTAAACATGTCAGACTGTTCTAGAATTAAACTGTTACTACAAGAGTACAGATGCCGCCTATCTAGCATCAGTTATACAAGTCTTGGTTCAGACTTGTTGTACCTGTGCATCAATGATCTTCTGCTTGGCATCTATGATTGCTTGCATCTCCGCATGGTCTCTCTTCAGCTCCTCCTCTACTGTCATTAACCTGATGTGTAGAAGCAGAGAAGATTAAAATGTTGGCAATAAGCTGACACAGCTGGATGAACACATGTTGCATACACCTATGTGAGTGATTCACCCAAATTCTCAACAAACCAAGAGTTTCTAGTACGCAAGCCACTTTAGTGTGCATTATTCAAAGAGAAGCAGCCATGAAACCCAGCATGATTTAACAAACATGTATTTGCTGTAACAACTTTCAAAATGAGAGGTTAAAATAGTTTGTTACTAAGATGATGAGTTACTCAATATTATATTATTGTAGAGCTGCAATAATGACTATTTTCATAATTTAGTAGCTGGTCTATTATGACTTCAATTAATTGATTAGTTGCAGACATCAGTCTGGCAACAATGTTTCATTCCACCAATTAAAATACAAAGATGAGTTGTTTTTTAAAAAAATAACACATCTATCCTAATTTCTAATTCATATTTTATAAAGGGCAGAGCAACAGATTTTGCTCCTGAAAACTTTATTTTTGAAAGGTCCAAGAAAGAATAAGTCTGCATTAACTTTGACAAGGTCAAAACAAAATCAGACCAGATTGTGACTGTATTCCTAAAGAATAATAATCTGTTCTGTTTCGCCATCAGTACACACACACCTGCAGATGATGCTCTTCATCTGGCTGTCCTTCTCCTCCTGCTGTCTGTGCAGGCGCTCCTCACTGTCCTCCAGACGAGCCTTATATTCCAGCAGCAGCCTTTGCAGCTGCTGCTCCTGCGCCAGCAACCTCCGCTCATACTCCTCCAGCCGGCGGCTGGAAACATGCAGGCGCTCCTTCAGCTTAGAGATCTCCTGCTCATACTGCAAAGGGAGAGAGAGGATCCTCAGAGTGCTCATATACACAGTTAGGAATAGCATGAAAAAGGCTCTACCAAAGATAGGGTGTCATTTACTATAAGGTGAAAACCTTAGTCATACTCTCGCAGTTATTTCCAGGTGTAGTAAACTGTATATTCTATTAAACCTCTGACACTATAGCAGGTCGATGCATACCTTCTCCACATGCTTGCTGTCCTCTCTGCTCTGGACTTGCTCCTCCTTATCTTCCTCATACTGGCCATTATTCAGCACCCATGCTGCTGTCCTCTCAACTGGAGACATGGTGACCGACTCCACAGGAGACTGCACCTGCTTCAAGTGCACACACATACACACAAACAAGGAGTCTGACTATGACCAGGTTGCTAGGTTCTCAAATTTAAAAACCATGAGATATCTGAACTCTACAATGCACCATAGGGCAGTGAAGAGTCAGCATCGTTTGATCAGAGGTTCTAATCTGTATACACATTTAAAGGTGAAGAACCCAGCAAAAGTTCACTTTCACAGATCAATGGTCAGTGGCTAGCTTCATCATTGTGTGACGGCAGACGTGTAGTGCAAACAACAGTCCTAACAAAAATAATGCTATGCATGTAGACACCTTTGTTTTTGACTTTTTAAGCTATTTTCATGCCTTATAAATCCGAACAATATTTTTGCATGAAATGCCCATCCCAAATTTCATAGTTTTGGGCTTCTGATTTAGCTCTTGACAAGTAATGTATTGTGTGTTAATATATGTTTGTGTCTAGGAAATGGGAAGATTTTGTAAACCTACATCCGCATATTGTTGACATCTTTTAATTTAATTTTACCTAAAAACATTAGCAGCCCTTTACATTGTGTGAACACTGATGATGAACGCACCAGTAGAAACAGGAAGCAACCCTTCAGAGAGCATATACCTGTCTGTTAGAGCGACCGCTGGGGCCAGGGCTGTCCCGGGAGCATGTTGATTGCTGTCTGGAGCCCCCTCCGCTCTGCTGCAGGGGCTCAGTGTTGATGCTGCTGCTGCTGCGCAGTGAAGCACTGTGAGGAAGAGACCTGGGGAGGCGTGACCCTCCGTTCCCTACTGCTACGTGGCTTCGACTCTGCTGTTCCACTTTCACAATGTGTGCTGTGCCAGTGCTTTGCTGCCTGGCCTCAGCCATGGCCTTGGCTCCAAGGGGCCAGCGGTGGGGGCCACTAGAGGCTGGCAGGGTCTCCTCCCCGCTCTGTGGCCTCTTGTGCCTTGGTTTCTCCTCGTCCAAGCTGCTAGCAGCAGAGGGTAGGCGGTTTCTGGGCATGGGGCCACAGGCTCCAGGGCTGGCACTACGAGAGCTGCCTGTGGTGCTCAGGTTTTCAGAGCTAGAGTTGGGTGGCAGGGACCTGGCTGAGCACGCCTGTGCTGTGTGCAGGTTGCTCAGATGGTAGACTGGGTTCTGGAAACAGAGTGGCTGAAGGCTGCGCTGTTGGCTTAGGGACTGGTGTAGGGGCTGGCGCACCTGCGGTGCACTTTGGGGCAAGCTGTCCTCTTGAGGGGGCTGCTGCTGTTGCTGCTGTTGGGGATGGTGGAGGTGGGTGGGCGGGGGAGACAGGGGACCGATGGATGCTTGGGAGCCCACCCGACCTAACCTCGGTGAGGCTTCATGGAGAGGAAGGGGCCCAGCAGGGCCCTGGAGAAGATGTGAGTCCTGGAGGTCCATGAGGGAGACGCTGCGGCCGCTGGGGAGTTGACTCTCTCGCTCCTCCTTGTCTGAGAAGCTCATGCTGTGCAGAGAGGGCTGCTGACCTAGTAAGGGGGGTTTTACTCTCACCAAAACCTCCATGTGCTCCTGGACTGGAGATCTGATGTTCAGGATTTCACTGTAAAGCAAAACAGATAAGACTCACTGAACATAAAAAACAGGAGCGAAATAAAACAGCACCTATGAATGCAATGAATGCCTTTCTCACGTTTTTCCATATTATAGTAGTGCTTTTCACAGGTTTACTTAGGTGTAGTCGCTGTCCATGAAAATAAAACTGTTGAATTTTATTTTATTAATAATGAAGCCATTACTTTGAAATATTAGCAGTGTATCTACCTGTCTGCTGGGTCCTCAAATATTCTCTGCAGTCCTGAGGAGATGCTGCTGTTGATATTGTGGGTAGAGCTATGCTCCTCGAAGTGCCTCAGCTGCTGCTGAATTGGTGTGGGGCTGGACAGCGAGCATGCAATGTCTCCGAGGATACGTGGCAGGGGCCCCAGTTTAGCAACCGTTGCCTGCAGGAAGGAATTGTCACCCTGGGATTGCCATGTTCATTCGGGCCACGGTGAGCACATGACACCCCGAGTGGTTTTGAGGGGGCAGATGGTAGAAAAGGGAATTGGTGGGTTGGCATAAGAGGCACCATAATGCATTGGTGCCGAGACACAGTGTATCAAGCAGAAAAAGAAAAGAGAAAAGAGAAAGGAGAGAAGGATGGGGGACAGAGGAAAAAAAACAAAATCACTTCAAATTAGGAATAAATGGAAAAAAAAACATGCTTCCAAAAATGATAAGCCATTCCAAAACCAATTAAATCAATAAAAAGGCAAACTCAGTGCATGCATCAAGGACAAATATCACCAGGCAGTTACGTGTGTGACAAGGTGCATATAGAGCTGTGATAAATGAACTAATGACTGAAGACAAACATTATAACAAAGGGAGGTATTAATGCAGCCAAAACATAATCAGGCTGTGAGGAGGCTGAGGGCAAAGTCTTGTATGAATTAGAGTTGAGTTAGAAAAGGAAGAACCATGAGGGGGAGTCCATGTACTGCATCATATTACATGCCCACTGCCATCACATCACACTTCAACCAGAAATAAGTATCTTAAACCTGCAACCTGTGTCAACAGAATGTATACTACACATGCTCACACTCTATTGCTCAACGCAGAATGAATGTAAACATTAAATATGAAGTCAATGTATACAACAGAAATCACACAGCATGTCTAAGAGGTAAGCTAATTAGTACAGAGAAAAAAAGTATCAGTACATTTGCACAGAGCTCGCTGCCACAAACCAAACATGCCAGTCACTGTGGCATTTACAGCAATACCCCAAGGCAATAAATTAGTGTGCTCTTTTGTTTCATTCCCATTTGGCTTAGGGCCTAAGCATAAATTACCAAAACACTGTACAATGTTTATTTTTTGTGCCAACCAGGAAATGTGGGTACTTTTGAGTATAACTATTAATTACAGCTGCAAGTACATCTGAAGCATATAATATGGCACAAGTTTGGTTAGACAACGTATTGCCTGAGGTACTACTGCAGTGCAATTCACGCAGTGTATTACCTTGTCTAGCTGTGACACCACATCCCACAGCAAAGCATGCAACAGAGATAGTTCCCGACCCAGGTCGATGTAGCCCTCGAAGCCCGGAGTGTTGGAGATGGACTCGAGGTTTGAGATCTCCAGCAGGAAGCGGGTCATTCCTGCCCACTCATGCTCCAGGAAGTCATTCATGAAAGCCATGTACTCCTCTTTGTTACCAAATCTTAAAAAAAAAAAAACATTACAGGCAAGCACAGTACCATTAAGGAATATATATAGATTGTGCTTTTTAGATTTCTAAATAATGATTTTCAGAATTGATTTAAAAGGGACTGAAAAATCAGAAGATCAAAATCTCAGTTTCAGCTACAGGGGTGGAATATTTCCCAAACAATGAAACCTTTGTGAGATTGTGTTTATAGGAGGACTGCTGATTTGTACCACTGTTTTTACTGTGATACACAAACTAACACACTTAGTTCACAAAGTTCTGCACAAAATGCACAAAGTTCTTTTACCATACTATGTGACAATTAGCAAATGTCTTATAATATTTCAATATGTCTTACTGCTACCTTGCTAGCTAGCCAACATCTCTGAAGAACACCGATGTTTAGCAAAGCACCAATGTTCTTGAGAGATGTTAGCTAGCAAAGTCTGAGCAAAACCTAATGAGAAGCATGCAGCGTCCCAACAGACAGACGTTGACACTCCACTTTTAGAGGTGTGGTTCCACCCCTGGCGTATAACATACATTCATTTGAGCAATTCTTTTTGATTGGCAGTGTGTGTTTATTAACAATGTTTTATAAAAAAAAAGTTAAAACTTCATAAAACTTTATAAAAAGTTGTACTATAATTCTAACCATAGCCACCTGACTCTCACATTCTGATTCTTGATTAACAAAATCAGATATGTTAAATTAGGTCTACAATTGTGTAACTATTTTTCTAAACCTATCAAACTGAGCAAATTGGTTAAATCATGTGGCCCAGGAAAGCTTTTGAGGTCCTTTGTGTGGGCTGCAAGTTGCAAAATGTTGAGAACCCACCCAAAGGTGCTCTTTGTAGTTCTAGAATTAGAGACTGTCTCTGTGCATTATTTGTTAGCCCCCTTCTACCCTGTTCTTCAATAACCCGGACTCCCACAGCACCACCACAGAGCAGGTATTAACTGGGTGGAGGATCATTCTTAGCACTAGAGTGACACTGACATAGTGGTGGCATTTTAGTGAGTGTTGCACCAGTACAAGTGGATCAGACATGGTAGTGTTACTGGAGTTTTTAAGCACTGTGTCCATTTCCAATCCACTCTATTAGACACATCTACCTTGTTGGTCCACCATGTAGATGTAAAGTTAGAGATGACAGCTTATCTGTTGCTGCACAGTGTGTGGTAGTCATCCTCTAGTCCCCATGTGTCAAACACAAGGCCTGTGGGACAATCCTATCCAGCCCGCAAAATAATTTTAATTATCTATTAATATTTGCCCGGTTCACCATTAGCTGCACTACAATCCCCAGTATGCACTTCAATTTAATGTGCGCTCTGACCCCTCTCCCCCAACAACAATCTATGGGACAAAATAAAAGATCTCAGGCGGCTAGTTGAAGCAAACAGGCAGGCTTAAAAGACCTACTTCCTAGGGACATTTAACAAGGTTTAACAGTTGTATGTAGCTAATGTAGTCTATTGTTTTATATAAAACCTTTTTTTATTATTATTTTTGAATGGTTCAAGTATTCAGTGCCTAATTTGCTGTTGCAGTTTTGGCATACTGTAAATAAACAATGGCCAGTTTGGGTCATAGTAAAATGTTAATGAAATAAAAATGCAGCTGGCCCACGGACTTGTTGAGATTTTTTAATATAGCCCTTTTAGTGGTTGAGTTTGACACCCCTGCTCTAGTCTTTCATCAGTGGTCACAGAATGCTGCCCACATGATGCTGTTGGCAGGATATTTTTGCTTGGTGGACTTCTCAGTTCAGCAGAGACACTGAGGTGTTAAAAAACTCCAGCAGCACTGCTGTGTCTGGTCCACTCACACCAAGGCACCACACACTAACGTCACCATCATGTCAGTGTCAATGCAGTGTGAGATTGATCCACAACCCAAATAACCACCTGATTTGTGGTAGACTACAGTCTGTAACTGTAAAATGTAGAATGTAGTGCACCTATTTGGTAAACAGACCTGATAAAATGCACAGAGTGCAGATACAAGGACTTAATGAAATGGCCAGAAATGCGTAAATATCAATTACATTTATAATCTAGTTGTAAGTATAATATTATAAAATGTTATTTAAAGACATGCAGCTAAGCAGAAAAATATAACTCAATATAATATAACATCAACAACATAAAAGCAGGATGTGCGGTGGCATACTTGGTGAAATTGGCGAGGTTCTGGATGACCTTGGCGATGAGGGTGAGTGTGCGAGAGGTGCGGTCATCAGGATATTCCTGCATGAGGTTGAAGAGGGAGGGCGACATGATGGCTGGACACAGGAAGCGCAGGAAGAGTGAGGCGCTGATCAGCCGCTGGCTGATGTCCTGCTTCCCCCGAGACTGGCACTGCTGCTTCCATGAGGCAAACACCTCCTTCAGTTCACGTGGGAACACACTGCAAGAGAGCACAAGGATGTGAGATGCACATGCACACACCAGCTGTGGCCCACACTTTCACTTCCAGGCAATAAACAATCTCAATGAGGAAAGTCAATAAATGATAAGTAAAAGAGCATTCTCTGTAGTTACTACAATTACCAGTAGGAATTGATGATCTTGCAGAAGGCCAGCTCACAGCACATTTTCAGGTTGCTCTGATGTTCAGGCAGCTCGCCGCTGGAGCACTTTGACGGATCCACCTCGCAGTTCTCATCTGACTCATACAGAGCTTTGATAAACTCCCCTTAATAATGAAAAATAGGCTTTCAATTACAATCATCTCAGCTCCTGTTTGGTTAATTCTGGGTTTATTTAGAATCTATATTTGGATAGAAAACCACCACTGACAATGTTACATTCCTGAGTTGCCTCAAAATGGTGTCCTGATTAGAGCTTGAAATATTTGTCTGCTCTCATGGGCTTTGGTCAAGGTCAGATGTAATTTCCCAAATACATGTTGGGCTCATATTAGGTCAAAAATTCATGTTTGGGTTCTCACCTTCCACCTTCCGTTATTCTTCCAGAGTACTTTCATTACATTAAAGCTATTTTTAATCTGTCAGGCTTCACACATCCATTGTTGTTGGTAGAATTTAGCACCAACATCCATGAGGCCCATGATCGAGAAACAATGGATATGCAGGAAATCAAACAGTGAATCAATTTAGGAGAGAACAGATTAGTGCAGCCTAAAGGATGTTTACTTAGTTTGGACAAACTGTTTTTAATGTTAGATGTAATATGTTCTATTTAAAAAGAATACAGATTTAGGATTACAGAGATGAAAACTAAACTTTCACTATATTAGCCTCACACAGTTTGAGAATAGCACATTAAGGTTGTCCTAACACACTAAGATTGTTCCAAATCATTGCCTGATGGATAAATTGGTTAAGGCAGAATGGAATATTAAAAACTATGATTTGATAATAAGATATCCAAAATTAAGATTAAATTAATCTTAATCAGCACTTAGGGTGTTGGGATGGTTCAGGTCAGTTTGGAACAGAAATTATGGTATGATTTGTACTGGTTCTAGCTTGGACAGAAAGTTCTAGGGCTGTGAATAGTTGAAAAGTCTGGATCCGGAAGTAAAAATACTATTCTTAATCATCATTGGGAATCAGATTTTTGACCATGAAACTTTAACTGCCCAACGTAGATTTACCATGAGCTACGAGATATAACATATATGCTGATATAACATGATATAATTACATAATCTTGTAAGTCAATCTGATTTCAATTTTATTTATTTTTTTTTTTAAATCATGTTTTGTTTCCCCATTCCTTGTGAAGAAATACACTATGCAGAATCCTAAAGCAGGAGACATTGCTGTTTCGATGGAAATTTTAACTATGTGGTTTAGTGCCAGAAAGGCATGAAAAAAAATAGAAATTAAATAAAATAAACTGGTTTTAAAACAAAAACTCTCACTCTCCTCTACCTTCCGTCTTACAGCCACAGAGTCTAAGCACACATAATAGACGTATTCTCAAACATAAATATCACATTTTCTTAGGACAATCACACACATTAATATAGCATCAGAGTTTCTTCATCCCTCAAGTTCCATTTTGATAGATATATTTGTCTAAGGAGACCACTTCAAAACAATAAGATATGAGGATTAATATAATTCTTAAAATCATTCATTCTTTCATAGCAAGCTTCACTGTACAATGCCTGCTAGTTAAAAAAAACAAAAAACAAAAAAACACTGAACCAAAAAGACACAAAGCAAATGCTATATGTACATAACTATAATGTAAACAATAATTTAAAACCAAAAACATTATTATACAGAAAAACAGTAGACAGAAAACACAAGATTGCAAATATTGTCAGAAAACTGTTTGTTGTGGAGGGAAAGGGATTGTTTATAATCATTCGATTATTTGCTGTGCTTCTTGGCAGTAGGTTAAGTAGTTAATCCCTTCCTTAAAAAAGGATTAAGGCCACAGTCTTGTACCTTTCCCTTTTTGTCAGTTTTTCAAAACTTTTTTTTTGTCCAAATTTTTTTTTATAATGTTGTAATTTATCTTGTAGCTGGTTGGTTGGGTTGGATGCTTAAAACTCTTTATGAAATGGATTTTCTGAAATGCCTATGGAGAAAATTAATCTGATTTTCACTTCCGGAACCAGAGCTGCTGAAAAACTTGCCTGTTTAAAACTATAGTTGAGATAACAAGGAACACCTGATTTGTTTTCAACAAATTTCAGCCAAATTTGAATTATGGCCCATACAGGGTCAGTCGAAGAAATACAAGTCTGAACATGTTCACAGATTAAGGTATCACCTCTTACCTAGTGCATCATGTAGGTACTTCTGGCCCACCAGTTTTAGGTACTCTTCTATTGCTTTGGTAGCCAGTGTGTTTTCTCTGAAGATCAGCACATCGTGATCTGCACAGCGATCCACTTCAGACATCACCAGGTCTGTCAGAAAGTCCTGAGACAGCAGACACAAAGTTTTAAAGTCCCAGCTTCAGCACAATTTCACTGTGGAATTCAGGAGACCACAATAGTTACTGGTTATGTGCATCACGCAGAAGGCAAATACAGATTATATTTGAAACACAATCCTCATCTGACAAGACAGGCCTTTACTTAACACTGAAGTGAGATTACAGTTTATAACATTCTTTCCAAACAAGATAACCTTTAGAGAACAAATGTTTAGATCTCTCATACTGGTGCATCCTTAATTTGCTTAAAGGAATAACTATGCAAAACATGTTTACAAAAACGAATAAAAAAACAGGCCAGAAAAATGCTACTACTGCTGGTCTTTGCTATATTATATACTTTTGGCCATTTTATCGATATATTTGTAGCATGGCACACAATGTCAGAAACCACATACTGAAGTCTATTTGAGATAATGAGGTGGTTTGAAGCATGTGACGAGTTAGGCTTACTTGTTAATTTCTATTACTTCTTAACTACATTAGCCTCCTAGCTCCAATGCACAAAGTTAAGACACCAAACATGTCTCGACATGTCACCAAACATGGCTGATGTCCTACATTTGGTATATGGGGCACTTTTGTTTGCCAAACATTTCTTTAAGAGTCCCGAAAAGTGAACTGCACCTTTGCCCTGCCCGTGCTCTGCAGGATGTGTACAAGTGCACTGGCCATCTCCTCTTTATTCCTCACACTGATGACTGGCTCCAGCACTGAACACAGCATGGTGTAGTTGTTGGTCACAAACTCCGCAAACTCCTTGTACTGCTCCATTGGCAGGATGGAGATGGTCTGGAAGCGGGACTTGATGCGAATGGTGGGGCCTCCACCCTTGGCCTTGCTGGTGGTGGGTGTGCTGACTGGGTACCACTTCTCTACAAATTGCCTGCCACTTACGCCCTGCACAGGAATGTTGACCAGGCCCACATAGTTGTTCTTGTCTTTTTTTTTCTTCTTGTCGGTATCGCGATAGATGTGAACAGTGATGCTCTTGATGCCAGGCAGGCCGCCAAACTCAAAGTGCTCACCCCAGAACAGGCAGTCCGAGCGTGGCTTGCTGGTGGTGCGGGCGTACATGATGTCGTCCAGGCACAGCTCACAGAAGTACTTCTTCTTGGGTGGCAGGTCTTTAGCTTCGATGATCCACAAACGGAGGATGTTCTCTGCCCGTCGGCAATTGTCCTGAGGACCCATAAAATAAGCAGCAACACAAAGAGAAAATAAAAGGTGAAATCCTAGTTACTCACTGTTTCATCTGCTCATTCAACAGAATAATCATGGTAAAAATAAAACAGCAAAGTAAAAGTAGACAGCAACAGGCACCTTATTTGGCTGCACAGTTCTTCTGAGGTTCTCCATCCACTTGTCTCTCTCAGAGGCCGAGGAGCAGCTGAAGCATTTACTCCCACCTGAGAACGTCACCTGCAAAAAGTAGAGACCAAAAAAGAAGTCAGGATGAACCAAGAAGGGGCTACCTTAAAAGTAATTCATAAAGCCTAAAACAATTAACGATTCAGCATAACCTTCTCAGAACATTGTTTCAAAGTGATGGATCGGCCACAAAAAGCTGAATTCACACAACTTTCCCGTTAACCCAAATGTAGTCAATCAGCCAAGACATGTTTGGTTTCTGAAGCATGCATCTAATGCAGCTAATGAGCATTGGAAACTAATACCTCATCAATTAGCACTGTGCAAACTGCAAGCCTAAATCATCACACACTTGCCTCAAACTACACTGGGTCAATGTAGTTGTTAAGCAAACTCTAATAGACTTGCTTAAGTAGTTTCTGACATACTGTCATCTATAGAAATCAGGGGTAGGGTGGCCCGAAAAGCATTTACTTTAAATGCTCATTGGTATTTCTGAACAAGTACCCAACTACTTATTCTCAAAACCACCCTTAAAGACGATAATATTTTTGCCATTCTGTATCACTGCAATTCAAAATATATCTAGTACACAATACAATGGAAACATAGGCCTCTTTTCCACTGTAGAGCCAAATGGTTCTCAGGACAGTACCTTACCATTTTGTGCTGTTGCAGGCTTGTGAGACCGCTTACAGTTTCTTTTTCCATCTGCTATGCTGCTAAATCAGAACCAGGAAATATTGGAAAAAAAAACTACAAAAAAAAAAAGAGTGGCTAACTGCTAACATCCCAATTCCTACACACACTACAAAATGCATTAGATTCCAACTTTCCCTAGTCACTCAGTGTGCTTTCAGGATCTTTATCCCCTTAATGAGTGTTACGTGAACATCAGTTATTGAAAATGGGCCTGTACAACTGTGGGTAGCACCTGGCACCTGTAGCCAGCTAACTAGCCACTAGCATTAGCATGGCCTAAGCAAACATGAGCCCATGCTAAGAGGATGAACAAGTGTTTTAGAGCATAAACAAGTCCTTTTTAAGTACTGTCTCCCTGGAACAGAGCCTGTACTATGGTGGAAGGCATCATACGCTCGCATTAGCTTAGTCCAGCAGGGTACAGCTTTAAACACTAAAGAACAAGTTCGAGTTCAGCTTTCTGTCACTCCACCATCAATCAGTTGACTTTGGTCTCTCCGATATACGTTTTTATAGTCTATGCTTGTGATAGTGCCATTTAGTCAAACTGAACCAGTAGTGGGCTGTTAGCTTAGCCAAAAAGCTACATATTCAAACACCACAGAACAGGTTTAATCTTGACTTTCTGTCCCTCTAACACCAGCCACTTTACGTCCTCTGATCTGAGTAATTATTAATTAAACTTGTGTCAGCTTTTGATGTCTCAAAATCAAACCTGTTCTGCAGAAAAGACAGCATGCTAATTAAGCTTATACTAACCTTCTACTACTTCTACTATCTACTACTTGTTAGCAGCACAGTTTAGAAATTGTTGTTACATTTAAAATCATGCAGGGCTTTTATTTATTTGGTGTCTGTGTGGGCGAATTGAACTTTTGTTTATTTGCTGCACAATACCGACATAAACGTAGAACTAAATCAGTGGCCTGGCAGTGGAAAAGAGGCCATAGCTAATGTTTCAGTCCTCACCGACTGTGATACACACCACTACGTGAGCCCTTTATACCTGGTGAGTGGTTATTTTTACACATGAGTACTTCACAGAGAGTTTCTATAGCGCTCCAAACTACAACCCCAATTCAATAAAGTTGGTATGCTATGTAAAATGTAAATAAATGTAAATCAAAACAGAATGCAATGATTTGCAAAACTCATAGACCCATATTTTATTCACAATATAACAGAGAACATATCAGATGTTGAAAGTGAGACATTTTAACATTTAATGGAAAACATTTATGCATTTAGAACTTGATGGCAGCTACGCATCTCAAAAAAGTTGGGACGGGGCAACAAAAGGCTGAAAAAGTAAGTGGTACTAATAAAAACAGGAGGAGCAATTTGCAACTAACTCACATGACTGGGTATAAAAAGAGCATTTTAGAGAGGCAGAATCTCTCAGAAGCAAAGATGGGCAGAGGTTCACCAATCTGTGAAAAACTGCGTCGAAAAATGGTAAAGACTTTGGATATCCCACCATCTATAGTACATAATATCATCAAAAGATTCAGAGAATCTGGAGAAATGCCTGTACACAAGGGACAACGCCAACGGTCAATATTGGATGCTTGTGATCTTCGGGCCCTCAGGCAGGACTGTATTAAAAACAGGCATGATTCTGTACTGGAAATCACTGCATGGGCTCAGGAACACTTCCAGAAATCATCGTCTGTGAACACAGTTTGCCGTGCAATCCACTAATGCAAGTTGAAGCTGTAACATGCAAAGAAGAAGCCATATGTCAACACAATCCAGAAACACCACTGTCTTCTCTGGGCAAAAGCTCATTTAAAAAAAAAAAATGGAAAACTGTTCTGTGGTCAGATGAATCAAAATTCGAAATTCTTTTTGGAAACCACGGATGCCGTCCCCTGCAGACCATCCAGCTTTTTATCAGTGCACCGTTCAAAAGCCTGCATCTCTGATGGTATTTTCAGATGTGTTGCTGCCATCAAGTTCTAAACGAGTTAACATTTTTCATGAAATGGTAAAATGTCTCACTTCCAACATCTGATAGGTGTTCTATGTTCTATTGTGAATAAAATATGGGTCTATGAGATTTGCAAATCATTGCATTCTGTTTTTATTTACATTTATTAACATTTTATAAAGCGTCCCAACTTTTTTGGAACGGGGTTGTACATTTAAAATAATAATTTCCTAAATTGTTATAATCTTGCTGCCTTGTAGCTCCTGCGGAGTACTAACAGTGTGTGGAAGAGAATCTTCTCTGACACCACCAGCCCTAAAAGCGCCTGATTGTGATTTCATCGCAATGAACAAAAGTATCGCATCTAAGGCATGTATACTTAATTTTTAAAAGATGAATCATTAGTCTTTTTGTGCCTCCAAGGTACATCAACCTCCTTTTTTTCCTCTGAACATTTTTCTTATCATCTGATAATTTAAAGTGCTCCCACACAAGTGATTTCTTAGGCATCTTTGCCCTTTTAGCATCAGTGGCCACATGAAAAGCAGTGCAGTTTGTTGTGCTCTGAGGTGAACTGCCAGGTATGCCTGGTGTGAATTTATGATACATTTAACTAAACCAGCAATTAAGTTTTAACACTTTCCATATATACTTTACTAAGTACACCAACCTTCTATCTACACTCACTATTTTATCCACTCCTCTTACCATATAGATGTACTTTGCAGTTCTACAGTTACAGACTACAGTACATCTGTTTCTTTGCATAGTTTGTTATTCCACCTTTATCTTGTTTATCGGTGATCAGCACAATGCACACTAAGACACCACCACCACCACTTCAGTATCACTGCAGTGCTGAGCATGAGCACCCAAATATCCACTGGCTCTGTGATGATTCTGTGAGGTCCTGACCACTGATAAATGGGGTGAAGGTGGCATAACAAATTATGCAAAGAAACAGATGTACTACAGCCTGTAATTGTAAAACTGGTGCTGATACAATGGAAATGAGTGTAGATACAAGGTAGGTACACCTAGCAAATTGCTTAGTGAATATATAAGCTTACATTACTTGTTAGTAACATCAGCCTTGTAGCTCCAGTGCAAAACCAACCTGACCACCTAAACAACCCTCATACACTGAACAACTGCCTTTGATAAGAGGAAGAAGGTGTAAGCTTTTTGACCCAATTATTGCTTAAATTTGGCCCAACTGTTTCTTAAATTTACTGGTCATGGATATCTGGATGTAGGAATGGAAGTAGCTGCAGAAGATAAACACTAAGGCTGTACTTCAAAGCAGAACTCCTGGCCCAGCACACTGCTGTGTAGAGGTTTGATGTAGACATCGTCCTCCATGCTGAGATCTAGAGCCTCCACAGCACTGCCTGGGCTTAGTAAAGACTCATGGGAACAGGACTCCTTCAACTTAGGCAGGCCTCGTGACCTACAACACAGGAACACAGACAAACATAACTATTACACACCCCTTTAACTCTATCACTTAGCGTAAGTCACATTCAGACTTTATCTAATTAGCAGATTCAACAATATCATGTATTATTAATTGAATCCTTTCATTCGATGCTCATGTTTTTGTTCCTGCTACGCTTCTCTGTACACAGGATATTAACAGTTATGTGACAAGCCAATTGCAAAACAAAAACATCGTAAATTAAATAATTAGCTTTTTCGTCTGCTTTATCAACCTTTTCCATCATATACGAGTGCATTAGCTCAGGAAAAAATACATAACTAAAAAAAAAAATTAAATAAATAAAAAATAAACAAAAACACAAGAGCAAACTATGATGGCAGAGAGGCAGAGTCCTCAAAAGAGATGAATATGTGAATAGGCCCAGTTCTTTAAAGAGATAGTTCAGCCAAAATCAAATTTTCCATACTGACTACATTAAATGTAAAGAGAAAAGCTGTATATATTTTTTGTTATTTAGCAGTTAATTTGCTGTTAATCCTCATTTAATTTAATGTCAGTTCTGAGAGCAGTAAGTTCCTGGAGAACGCTTGTACCTACGAAAAGCAACTGAAGATCCACTTGACAGAGTCTCCCAAGAGCATATCAATTTCTCATCATGTCAGCTGTAGAATCCAAGTCCTTCTTTATTGAGAGAAAGTACCTTTCAGTTTGAAGTGCGGGCTAAGGTGTGATTGTTCAGATAAAGGTTTTGGAGCAGACACGTAGCTGCTGAACACTGCCCTACACAACCTTGTTCAACACACAGCTGATAAACATAAGAAGGAGCCTGACTGAGCCCTGTAACCCCCAGAGAGTGTCGCCATGGGAATGGCCCAAAGAGGAGTCGCGGCCATGGAGCCAGAGATGAACTGAGCACATAAACACCTCAGACATCACCGTCAATCATGCACACACATACACACCCAGACACAATCACACCTGCAGTTCTACTAGGCGCTGCCACATGCGGCACATTCATCCTTACATCTGCCTTATTGTATCTGTATATTATATTATACATAGAAAAATCTCATTATACATCCAGCCAATTATACAACAAACAATAAGTAATCAGTATCACTAAATAGTGCTGCATGATAAACTAATACTGTGAATAGAACAAATACTGTGCCCATACTGCAATTAGACATGTCAGTAGTAATTCAGTGTTATATGATATTAAATATGCACACAGATGTAATCAAGTGCAATTAGTGTCAAAAAACCACCAGCCTGTACTGTGCCTTGTTAACAACTGGGGTCCATGGTTTCATGGGGTCTGAACCATACACGAACCCTACCATCAGCCCAAAACAATTGGTATCTGTGAATAATTGGACCACGCCACATGTTGCCAGCGAGTCCTCTAGGATGCCGTTAGCAACCTCATAAGCCCAGGTGAGGCGCTGTGTCCAGTGTCATAGTACCTAAAAAGAGGCACTCTGGTGGGTCTTCTGCTCCCATATCCCATGGAAGCTAAAGAACACTGCACTGACCTGTGGGATACGCACGTGGGGCCTCCTGCGTTGAATGTGGCATCAAATCAGCTATTATTACTATGCCGTTCATGCAGTTACAGTACACTGTTTGTTGTCATTTACACACCCTCTGTAACTTGGCTAAATCTTACTTAGGATACATGTCACTTAACTTAAAGGGACAGGGGGCAGTCATGGGCCAGCTTCAGGTAGGTCACCGGTTCGATCCCCTGAGCCGTCAGTATGCGACTGAAGTGCCCTTGAGCAAGGCACCTAACCCCCAACTGCTCCCCGGGCGCCGTGGATAGGGCTGCCCACAGTCATTATCTGTAAACTTATCAAGGTCTTGAACAACACAGACCACTCACTGGACATATTCTCAGTGAGTTCACTGTAATACTGCACAAATGTTAAATAGTAAACGTCCCCTAGAAAGCTCCCCAACCAAACACCAGAGAAATGTATTACTAAATAAGGCAAGAAATATTTGATAAAATTCAATAATTACAATTTTCAAAAATGATCCAGCAATTGAAATCACTCATAATTTAACCCCTTTGAAAATGCACTTCAGCTTCCATTTCATCAATCCAATGGGAAACATTGTCTTTTTATCAAGCTACATCAAGCTAGCCACAAGTAACACACAGAAGCAGAACATAGTGCCTCAAGAGAACTAGAGAATCTGCCTGCAAGTGACACCAAATTAGTGTTTTGTGGTTGGTTATTATGCATGTCAGTGAAATTACCTTGGCAGGTGGCTCTTCGTCATGTTGAGGTCGAAACCCACATGTACCTGTGACCCACATGTACCTCTTGCTGCTGAGACACCAATCCTGAGAATTTGTTTTAAATCTCTAATTTCAGCTGATAATATCGATAATTTTATTATTGCTCCAGGCTGCTGCCAGCTAGTACGCCATCAGATTAACTTATTTCTGAGAATTGGGGTGAGTGAGATAGTGAGCTGTGTTTAGCACATAACAAATATAAAAATAAAGTTAAATGTAAACAATATGGTTATAACATGCAATGTATGCAGGTTAAAAAGAAAAAACTATGATTGAATGTATAAACCTCACTTTCAAAAAAGTGACAGTATGTGAAATTCAAGTAAAAAACAGAAAGCAGTGATCTTAAATCTGTTGTCACCTGTATTTGCATAAAAAAACAGTACAAAAACAAAATACTTAATATTTTACCTTTTCAACTTATATTTCACAAAAAATATTTTGCAACACATTGCCAAAAGTTGGGGCAGGGGCCATTTAAGAATTGTGATGCTGTGAAATGTTCAAAAAATATCTTAAACAAAGCCTTGGTATGGGTTTGTATTAATGCCAATGACAATGGTAACTTGCATATCTGTGGCACCATTAATACTGAAAGATTAACTTTTTTGATTCACCCTCTAGATGTTGGCTTTTTAGTGACATCCATGCTTATTTTGGCATGACAATGCCAAGCCACATTCTGCACACATAACAAGAGCAGGGCTGCGTAATCAGAGAGTGCGGGTGTTAGAAATGATCTGCCTGCAGTCCAGACTTGTCTCCCAAAATGCAACTTTTTTTTTTTTTTTGCATTTTGCAAAATATGAAAACAAAAGCGGAAGACTTAAAACAGAAGAGGCAGCAGAGGGGCAAACATGCTTGTGTCTCAACCTTTTGGAACATATACAAGGCATCAAATTTAGAATGAGTGCATATTTACAAAAAGAAACAAACAAAAAAAAAACCTCATGAGGTAAAACAAAACATTATGTTCGCACTGTTTTCAATTTAATACAGGTCAAACAGAATTTACTGATTTACCTGCAGTACTGCATCTTACTAGTGCAGCTCAACACCTGTGTTTCTAGAACAATCTCATCTAGGTTAGGTGCACAAAATGTTAATCTAGGGAGTGCCTCTGCCATATATATTTTGCAGTAGCAGCCTAAAATTATTGCTACTGCTGCTTCAGAATTTTTGCTATGCCATGAACTTGCAATTATAAAACTCTGCAAAGGGCTTTTAATTTGAAACGACAGTTACAGGAAGTGGAGGAACATATACCACTGTAGTCATGTCATCATTCTGTAGTCGACGCCATGCTCTTATGCCCTTATTATGAACTCCGGGTCTAAGGGTCTAAGCTCCATTTCTCTATAGCCAGAATGAATAGGGTTTATGAAAAACCGCCTCTATCACACCCTGTGTTAAATAAAAATATTCAGAACCTGATATGTTTTGTCCTGTGAACATTCTTCTCTCGAATACCACTGGATCCTCTGAATTACGATGTTGTTAGAGTTGAAATATGAATGTTGCTACATGTAAGCTAATGCACAGCCCAGTTGAGCCGAATTGCCAAATGAAACAGTTGTCGGTGGAACGGACTATTCAGACATTTTTAGCAAGCTTTAGTTAACTGGCTAATTCAGCACACCATGAGGAGGCTGGGATGACTTTATTTTGCAATGTTATTCAGTTCAGTTTTACATTTCGTGGACTTTTGTGGACTGTGGTGGTCAGAAATATGAATAAAGTGGGTCAAAAGGAACTGTTTATCTCCTTTTTTTCTTTGCAAACCTGGCTACTTGCTTGTTGGAATTTGTTAATGCTAACCAGCTAGCCAACAAGGGCAAGCTTCTGTTAATTATGGTATATCTTGGTATATCTTTACAACTCTACAGTGAAATGGCCTCAGCCAGATCTTCAGTGACTGGACAATAAAAAAAAAAAAAAGCTGACAAGGGTTGAGGGAGAGATCCGGCTTGCCACCGCTGCCGAAAAAAAAAACCCTTGAGGAAACACTGTGTAAGATATTAATTAAGGATAACTGAACATAACTGAACTTCTTAATATGTTAATCTGTGGGAATACTAATGTGATATTAAATAAAATTCATGCCACTCTGGGCATTTTTTTAGACCTGCAGGGCAGCAAAATTAAATTGTCCTTGTATTTTGTCTATGGGCTATTCAAGTGACATACGTAGAGACCATGCTTCAACTTCAAATAGGCCACACTGCAGTCAGTGTTATCACTGTGCAACACACGTACACCAAAGCTGCTTGCAGTCGTGTGCTATACATCCAATGTTAGTTCTTTTGTTATTTAATTGTGCGACTGAATTGCCAGTTTGTATTACTTAAACCACAGTTGTATATTTTGTTTTGAATATGCTCACACACTCATGTGACAGCTGGAATTCATTACAATGCCAAAACCTGACTTTATTATCTCTTTGCTGTCACATGTGGCTGTTCCATCACTGTACTTCTAACTTTCATATTCTCTCTAATGCTACTCAAACATGTTTAAATACACAGTACTGACATCCATAACAATGCTGAAACAAAACTACACACATGTCACCACCACATCCACACATACGAGAAGTGATAGAGAACACTTTTTTGTTGAATGGCCTAACATTGAACCTACTGAAGAAACTGTTTAAGTCATTTGTCCTCTTTCAGCTTTCCTCAGCCTGCTGAGTGCATGGCTGAGTGCAACACTTTCTTTATTCTATTCCACATCTCTTTCACCTTACCCCTCTGGAGACTGCTCTCCATTTTCCTCCTAAATTCCTTGTTACATTATCTAATTCTCACTTTCAGCTCTCTCTGTATACTCCACATGCGTTCTCTGTCACCAGCCCTAAAGGCCCTCTACTTCTTGTTCAGGGGGGCCTTCATATAGCCTCAGCTGATCACTTCCTGACTGACTTGGTCACCATTCTCGTTACAAGAGGATTATACAAATACCTCAGGTTATGGTCTGAGCAGTAGAACTATATGCCTTATTCACATTGGCATATAACAAGTCCAGTCTTCTATATTCCCTTGTGGGACAACTGATGTATTGTTTGAATGTGGGCAGAATGCAGGAGAGATGGACATGATTAAAGTCCCCAGAGATTTGCAGTCCCCCTGGTCATTTTGTGGATGACATCATACGCGGAGACAGCAACTGCAGATGGCAGGAGGTACTGGGCAGGTAATATGGTCGCATGCTTAGTGCTAATAGCTCAGTGTCAGGAGTACACAGTTTTTCCTTTACAGTAACGTGACCCAGATTGCACCACTTACTGTTCACAAACATTGCCAACCCACTCCCTCACCTTCATCCATCCTCTCTCCAAATTTCATGTCTTTTTTGCTGCAACAGCATACAAAGCTATTCACTTTGTAACAATAATCTCACCAGTGAGGGACTATAATACACCAAATAGAGAGGAATATACGCCTGTGTCCGGTGATGGCTTAACTGTTTAGGACTTTATCCAAATCAGAGCAAGACACTAGTATTCCCCACACGTAAACATAACTGAACTTTTCAACATGCTGGGTGATGTAATATCACATTTATTGTACTTAGCATAGATAAGACTAGAAATGTAGCTGCGCTGGTTAAATGTGCTTGGTGATATCATGCCTGTTCAAAAAGTCGCATATGCTAAAGTGTTCAGTTTAGGACATAAGACCATAGCGCCAAGTTTCACATATCAGAAAAAACAAGGTCACTGCACACAGGAGCAGCATTCAAAAAGTAGAAACCATTGAGGCACACTGACGTACATCGGCTCCAAGCACTGTGAAATTCTCAGAGCATCACAGCGCGCCACTCATTTGACCATAACTAGATTAAATAAAAAGCAATAGTGAAACCCCAGAAAGCCACAGGAGAACACGTGTCTTGAAATTTACACAGACAAAGGCAATCAACTTCAATCTAATGTTGCTATCTTAGCCTTTTTAACTTCTCTATCTTTCAGCACATAAACAGTGTGATGTTCAAAGCTTTATTTGATTCAATTTATGCAATTAAAGTGTAAAACTGAACTTAAACCGGCTCTCACTTCCAGCATTCCATAGCAGCGCTCTGCTACATCATATGCTATATGACACTGTACGGTGTGTTCTGTGTATGGGGCCTTCAGGAGAGTAATATCATGTCTTGGCTCTCACTTTTTGGATGAAACAGGCCATTTCAAACAGCCTCTGGCAAAATGGCTTTAAATTAATTACGACTTCATGGCCAAATCAAAGATGATGGCGTACTAAACCACCTGTTTCACTGAATTGCGCTGTTATTGTGACAAAGATTAAGCTTCAACTCATATGAAATTTCTGGATGAAAAGATAAAGGATTAACTGGGTTAACTATAGTAACAGTTAACCCAGTCTGGCTTAACTGTTTACCACCGTTACTTTCCACATGGCTACCAGAATAAGAGGTCTTGTCATTGGCCGAGATGAATGCCTTTACAAGACAAAGCCTCCTCCAGTCTAGTGATGCAACTCTGAATTTGCCATTTCAATTTATGTTCTCCTCTATAAATGCTGAGCTGAAAGGATGAAGTAAGGGATGAAACAGAACAAATTATAGTCATGTTGATAAATCACAATTTTTTCAGAACAGAAGAAAAGCAAAGTCATACCTGTCGTTTTCAGCGGGCCGCAGTGAGGGTAGCCTGAAGCTTGTGTTTCGGTCCAGTTTGGTCTGACTCTTTGTCCTTTTGATAGACCCTTTTAGTCGCTTACTGAAAAAACCCTAAAACAGAAAAAGAGAGAAAGACACTAGTCATGTGTGTTCTTTTCAGAAACGTCTGCTGTTGTAGAACAGTAACAGTGGCTGTGTGGGTAAGCAATAGTAACCGTGAAAAAGTTCAAACATGGTTCTGACTAATGAGGACATGTATCAGTATAAGCTTTCCTAATGAACTCTAAGTGATAAAAATGCAGGTTCAAAGAAAAAGGACACCCAAGTGGATTTCCAGTAGGAAAGGACAACATGACAGTATCCCTATCATTATTCTGATAATCACGAGACGATACACTTCTTTGAGTGCATCATAGGCGTTAGTACTTCTAGAACACTGAACAACTGCATGAACAGTCTTAAAAATAAAGGTTCCTAAATGGTTCTTGGCTTGGTCATATGAGTCTAAGAAAAATCTTTAACATTTCTTTTTTACAGAAAAATCAGAATTGCTTTTATGTGGTTCTTTATGGATGTGAAAGCTGAACAATAAAGCATGACAAGAAATATATTATTGGCTTTGAACTGTAATGTTGCCGAACACTCTTAAAAGTACCTTAATCTCCAGAGATGGCAAAAAACAAACAAACAAATGGATCCTTGACCAAATAAAGCCTTACCTCTCACTGGAAGCCCAAGTCACCAAACTGAATCTTATTTTAAACATATTATGAAAAGAACCAATTTAACTGGAAAAGACAATTCTGAATGGAATAATTGCGGGTAAATGAAGATGAGGACAGCCAGGGACAAAATAAATGGAGATAAAGAGAGGAACCTTCAAGAAGTCTAAAATCCCAAACAGAAGACAGGATCTTCTGGAGAACCAAAATGGTTCTTGTTTGTTACTGCCCAAAAAAGCCTTTTTGGCAGCATACCTTTCAAAAACAAAAAAAGATTTAGACCAATTATAGAGAGTCTGTAAAGAACAACCACCAGTGTATAATAACTGCAAACTGCATAAAATTGGACATTGATAAATTTTGCTGGTCCATTTTGTCCTTCTCAACTTGCTTTTAAACCTCAGAAAGGTATCACGATGTCACCCACACTTAATGTCCAGGATCTCAAGCTCTGTGAAGAGATGAATGGTTAGCACAGTACACTCCAACCCTTGTCTTAGAGAGCAACCTTCCTGTAGAGTTTAGTTCCAATAGTATCCAATAAGCTGTGCTGCCCCTTACATAACTCTAATACAGCCAAGCAGGGACTTGGGAAGAGGTAGATTAGCTGAAGCAGGTGTGGCAAATTGTGGTTAGAACTAGGCTCTGCAGGAAGGTAGCTCTCCAGGACCAGGGTTGGAGACCACTGGTTTAGCAGCTAAGTCATTATACTTTTATAAAGAGTGCAGTTCTCCACCAAGCAATGATATTCCCCGCATGAATGACTTCGGAAAGCAGTACAGAGATTTAGCATGGGCAATGATGACTGAGCGTGAGTGTGTGTATGTGTGTGTGTGTGTGCATAGAAAAGAGCAAGGAAAAGAGCAAGAATGAAAGACAGAGCACCAGTAAAAGTGCATAATGTGTAAAAATGATAAAGCACACTGATTGAGAGTGGGTAGGGTGATATAAGGATAAAATGACCAAGAGGCGTTTGACTTCATGCTCAACCGCCTGCAAGGACTGGTGAAGACGGCAAAAGAGGTGCATGGCTGGTGAAAACGATGGATCCCCCCAGAAGATCAGAAAGACATCCCCATGTTGGTTTCCATAAAGGCCAAGCTCATACAGGCAAAAATAAGACAGGATGCTCAAAGACTCTCACAAGCAGCAGTTACCTTTGATTATCACATGCCAACCATCAAACTGAAACCTATAGCCCTTCCCAAGTTCACTGGTAACAAACACGATTTCCATAGGTGGAGGAAGGACTGGGAAGCACTCCAGGGGCAGGGAGAACCAACTGGTTCCAGAGAGGTGAAAAAGGTTAAATTACTCTACAGTTTTGATGATAAAATCGTAAAAGCACTACGCCTTACTAGTTACAATCGCAGAAGATCTTCCATGCCCTAGACAACCGCTATGGCAATCGAACATCCATTGGCATTAAGACAGTAGAGGAACTGCAGAAAATGCCAGCTGTAAGAAGTCGTCAGCCACGGAAAATAGTAGAATTAATTCAAGCTGTGGAGAAAGTGCTTCAAGACCTAAGTGACCTTGGAGACACGGGAGCTACCAAAAATCCACTGGTAGCAAGCAGTTGGCTAAAGAGCCTGAATGGAAAATTGCCCATGGTGCCCAAGTGCATGATATAGTCGATCAAAAGGCTGCAATCATATTGTCCAAAAACGTGATTAACAGCTGGAATGGACTGGTCTGGTATGTGAGTCACCTTATTGCTCCTAATCCACACTCTCTCACAACCCCTGTAAGACCTATGTGGAACAGTAGCCAGAGGTTTAAAGGTGTGAGCTTTAACAACCTCCTAATGAAAGACCCAGATGTCCTAAACAAATCCGTGGTGTCCTCAGATCTAAGGGTGGGGTACATGCTGCTCTCGGTGACATAAAAAACAAGGTAAAAACCATAGTTTTACCAAACCAAATACATGACGATGACAACAAAGCTCTAGGCCTGGGCTACACAGTAGAAGATGACAAGCTCCATGTCATGGTCACAATCAATTTCTCAAGGAGAAGGAAAAAGATGCGACTTGGCCAAGACCTCCTTCAGGAGCAAATCAGAGCCCAGACACCAAACCCCCTCACACGGAGAGAACTGCTCAGTCAGGTGTCAAAGCTGTACGATCCAGTTGGCCTAGTAACTCCTGCTAAACAGAAGGGAGCTATTCCGGTGTGCAGGGCATTCCAAGAGGCAAAAAGCAAGAGTCGTCAAGTTAAAGACACAAGGGACATAGCACTCTGAAGTAACCTCAGAGAAGACGCAACAAACTCCTTGAGGAATATACTCAACTTGGAAAAGTTACATTCACCAGAGCACTAACTCCCCCACGCATCATGCTAGTGGAATCCAAAGCCAAGTTAACCCCCTTGGATCAAAAAGGTGACACTGTCAAGGCAGAGTTATGTGGAGCAGTGTTTGCGTTGTGCCTGAAGAAATATTTCGAGCTGCATAGTCGAATCCACGTTGAGCGGTGGTACCATCTGGTTGATAGCCAAACAGTCCTTGGAGACTCTCTCTTGCAGAGAGAAAGCTACAGCTATCGAACATTTTTTGCAAACAGGATCAGAGAGATTCAAAGTAGCACAAGGACACCAGATTGGTGGTGGATTCCTAGTCCACAAAAACACTGCTGATATCACCAATGGCCAATCAAATCAGCCAAAGAACTAGCAGCCTCTGCCAGAGAAAACATCAACAAACTGCAAAAGAAGGCATTTGTTGCTGCATTAAGGGGGGCCAAGGCAGAGATTCAAAAACCAAAACAGGATCAGAACCAGGTCCAAACAGAACAAAGAAGACCACCTGCAGGGTCAGCCATTCGAAACCTTGTGGATACCAAGCAGTTTAGTATTCTAACCCCTCATGTCAAAACGGTTGCATGGCTCTGGAGGGCAGCAAAAAAGTTCATTGGGCAAAATCAAGACCTGAACAGTTTGAAGTGGGAGGCAGTCATGTTAGCTGGAGTTACCTCAGTAAGAGAATGAGAAGATGCCTTAAGAATACATTTTCCTTGCAGCACAAGAGGGCATAACTGTCCCAAGCACTGCTACATACAGGCTGCAAGTTTACAAATAGCAAGAATATGGGATATTGGTATGTGGTGGTCGAGTACAGAGCTTTAGATAAGGTCAAATCTGTGTCCCCATCTTGCCTTACGATGCCTGGGTGTCCACACTGCTCGGGAAGCTCACAATGAGAATCATGATGGAGTGGCTGGGACCTTGCTCAAGATGAGAAGGAGGGCATGGGTAATAAGGGGAAGGAGAATTGCCCAGAAAGCTGTTGATGGCTGCATGGTTTGCAGGAAAGCAAAAGCAAGAAGATGCCGTGAAGTAATGCGTGACCTGCCGCCAGAGAGAGCTGAGCCTGCCGCACCATTTGAATTCACGACGGTAGACTTCTTTGGACCAACCAGGTAAAAGATGACGTCAAGAAACAAGTAACACTAAGGGTCTGGGGAATTGTCTTTTGCTGTATGGCCAGCAGAGCCATCCACGCAGACTTGGTAAGCTCCCTATCATCAGAAAGTTTTCTAATAGCCTATCAAAGGTTCACAACAATTAAAGGGCATCCAAGAATAGTCTGGTCAGACCCAGGCACCAATTTTATAGGAGCAAAACCATTCTTGGAAGTACAGGTTCTTGGACAGCCAGGACAAAACAGCCCTGGAAGAAACTGCCGCTAAGAACGGAACAAGTTCGATGTGGAAGATTCACACAGCCGATTCTCCGCATAGGAACGGCACTGCAGAAGCTGCTGTACGCATCATGAAGAAGGCACGCCAAAGTCTTGGAAAGGAGTCTGTACTCAGTTAAAGCAAGTTGCAGACAGTCCTTCATATGGCAGCCAACCTTGCGAACGAGCGACCAATTGTCGCCAGAGTGGCCCGTTTGCGTGTGGCTTGTTTAGATTAACTTTCAGTTTCATGCAAGTAAGCTGGACTGTTGAAGAGTCTGCGTAGTTTAAATGACTGTGTTTACACAGTAGGCACTAATTTTGCTTAGGATTATGAGGAGGAGATGAAAGAGCAGGTGTATTAAGTGAAATAAGGCACTGAAGCTTAAGAGTTTCTTGAAATAATTACAAATGCTCTGTTTTTCTGTGTTTTTTTCTGTTTGAAGGTTTTTCACCTTATGACATAGAGAAAATATTTGCAATGACTACACACTGCTGATGATGTCTAACTAAGAGTTGCACGATAATTAGAGGGGTCTCATGATGGTTGTTGAGTGCAAAAAGGCTGAGTGGGTGATATAGGTTTGGAATACATCTTTAATAAATGGAATGATCATTTAAAGCTGCATTTTGTGTTTACTCTAGTTGTCTTCATCTTACATTAAAATTAGTTGGATAATCTGAAACATTTAACATTTTCACAGTATTGTATGTGATTATAAGCTACAGTGGTGCTTGAAAGTTTGCGAACCCTTTAGAATTTTCTAGATTTCTGCATACATTTGATCTGAACTTCATCAGATTTTCATACAAGTCCTAATAGTAGATAAAGAGAACCAAATTAAACAAATGAGACAAAAATATGATGTTGGTCCAGGTTGTTACTGAGCGAGTGAACATTAGACAGACACAGACATGTAGGAACCACAAGTCTCTTGGGATAATGATAGCCTTTAGGCTTGGTTTAGACTTTATCATAGCAGCCCCTAGCATTGCCTGTTTGTCCACTAGCCCCGCCTGTGGTGCACTTCCAATAGTCAGGCACATCACGCAGCAGCGGGGTCTCGTTGTCTTTTGCTTCAATGAAGCAGAGAAATCCACAGCGTAACCGCTGCTACTATTAATGTGAATAAGTAATATTTACTAAACTCTTGCATTTCGATGCTTGAAGATATGACAAATGATGTGCTTACATGTACAGACCACAGGTTGATCTATGTATTGTTCAGTTCTGTCTTTAATAAAAAAAATTACATTTACTTCAGTTGTTAAATCTGGTTCTTATTACTAATTCTATGATAGTAAATACTACTTATATACAGTAAATAAACAGAAATAGGTTAGTCTAAATGGAAATGGTTGTATACCTAAACATGGCCTTATTTTTTGGATACTATCCTGCCAACCCATAGCTAAAATTAAGTAAAAATAAATCAGAGCTGGGCTTCTTCAGCAGGAAAACACCATCATTACACAGCAACATCTGTATGCATTTGTGACAAAAAGACAAACACGCATGACTCATTGCTTATAAAGCTACCTTCACAAAGCCTGTGATATAAATATGCAAGGTGGCCCACTTTCTGACTGGATAAAAATATCATCAAACAAATTCTAATGTCTTTCTCACAGGCTCTGCTCCAAGGCACTCCTTGGTTCCAGTGTGTGGCCCATTGTAAAGCTTGTTTCTCATAAAGGAATTTGTATTAGACACACCTGTTTACCTTCCATGTGTTATAATGATGTGTAACGTGTAGTTTTAACATAAAAATACACACATGGCTTATTTATAGAAGTAAGAACGAGTAGCAGGGTTGGGCAGCATTCACTTATTTCATATCTGCAAACCACTTCCAAATATTACATTGTGTATTGTATTACCTGGGTGGTAATATCATATACAGTATCGCTACTACTAACGGTTCTTAAGTTTATACTTAATTTTGCGCATAAAATCTTTACAAGCTCTTAATTACAAGCTCTTAATTAACACTAGTTATTCTTCAGACTATCCATTTAATAAATCTGGTTACGCCACAAATCCTTCATCCTTAATGTCTTAACTAGCAACAGCTAATTAACGTGTATTTCGCTTTAACATGACAACATGTTGAGAACTAATTACCAAGCTACGGAAACACATTGGCAGCTTGCGCAGACATTTTCAATGACAAAAATACCCAATATAAATGGTATTCACAAAACCCAGAAGAAGTGACCCGTGGCCAAACTGCTGACATTCTGCCAGCATAACGTGTATGAGCAGTCAATGCCAGCTATGACTTCCTAATCAAGTATCAAAAAAAAGTCATTGTTATGTTTAAGTCCTTATTATGCGTTACTCCCTGCGATTACCAATCTAGACATCCATAATTACCTTAAACAGTGCATCAGCATACACAACGCAGGACCTAACAGCATACAGTCCACTAGAATCATATAATTACAAAGTTTGTACTTTCTATAAATGGTTGTCTACAAGCATCTTGGTCACTGCCGTCATCACTGCATTAATCCGTGGTATGTCAACAATGTGGCAGAGGCATCAAGTGTGATGACAATCGAAAACTATATATAGAAAAGAATGAGGTAAGTTAAATTGAATAAAACTGAAAACTTGTAGCCATTGTCTGTTTATTTTTAAATATTTCTTTGAGATAACCAAATATGCAGCTTTTTAAAACGATGACTTCTGACAAACTGACACAGCAGCATCCACAGTTTAGCCATTTCGGCACCTGCCGAGTCTCACTAAACTAGAGCTGTGGTTCTTAGCTTCACGTTTGGAGTTAAAACCAGGTTGATGATTAGAGTACTTTCACATTTAGCTGGTGCAATTGGCCCCATGTTAGCATTATCATAGCTAGCATGATAACAGCTCTGCTGACCACAGAACATGTTAGATTCTGGCTGACTTAAGCACATACACAAGTAATAAGATAATAATGATTCAAATCAGAGGGAATGAAGACCAGCAACTCACGCTGAAGGGACAGAAAGGTGCAAATTTCTCTGTGGTGTTTGGATCTGCAATCTGATTAGATAGCTGAATATTAGCTTAGTAAGCAGACCCAAAGACTGCCAAACAGACTTGATTTGACTAACTGGTGCTCTGCTGAAATAAGTGTAAATGATAAAAACTAATGTATGAGAGAGAGTAATGTCGAGTGACTGGTGTTGGAGTGACAGAAAGCTGTTTGGAATTGTTGTATTTGGGCTAAGCTAACAAGAGCTTAGCGAGCTCGCTAAACATGCCATGCAACAGCAGCACAGGCTTTGTTAAAGTTAACTAGTGTATGGAGTGATGCAACAGGTGGTATGACATTCATATCAGCCAGTGCCAGGTTATTTTCAAACCCACTTTGGTCCAAAAACACACTTGTGCTACCACCTCCTCAGATCTTCTCTCATCACAAAAGCACGTCCAAATCGAAACCTTGTAAAATACTGTTCATCCATGGGGCATCAAAAAATAAGAAAGATACAGGCCGAAAATCTCAGGTAGATTTGTACATATGTGGTCTCCGCTGAGTCACAATTTCAGGAGAAAATCAGTCTTTGCATGCACTGCTGGCTTGTTTGCCAAGAGCCCACTAGTACAAATGTGGTCTTCCTTGTTTTTCCCCAAAAGAGTCAGATATTCATGAGAGAACCAGACTTACCACAACAAATAAATTGGGCTGTCACGATCATGAAATTTTAGCTGACGACTGTCATATAAATAGTTGCAATTACCGATTTAATTGCATGCAACTACTAAAGAATAGACCTGAACAGATTAACTAAGCAGCATTCTATCTTTCTAGCTATGTTTACTCAATCAAATGCTGGAAGTTAAAAAGAATCATGTGTAAAGCTAACAAACAAACATTACTTGCGCTGCACTTCTAAACAAGTTTTCAAGTTCCATGATGTGTCTCAATGAATGCATTTACTGCTCTCCTTTGTTTACTTTTATTTGCCTCTTCCCAACACATTCAATTCAAATTTTGCTTATTGTGGCATAGCTAAGTTGGCTTGGAAAAGCCAACTTATTGTTCTTTGTAATCTTCTTAAGTTGACCTGGAAAAGCCAACTTACTGTTTTTCATAAACTTCTTCTTATGAGTAAGATGACTTGGAAAAGCCAAGTCTTATGATTCTTCTTATTATTATTCTTTCTCCTCCTACAGTTTTTGACCTAGAACTACAAAACTTTGCAGGATCATAGAATCGTATCCCATACCTGAATAGTGTCCTTGGTGAATAGGTGGCAGTGAATTTTAAGGTGGAAGTTGATTTAAGGTGGAAGTTGATTTAAGGAGCCATTGAATTTATAACAGCATTAGATTTAAGGTAGCAATTAATTTAAGGTAACTTGAGATTTAAGTCAGCAGTGGATTTAAGGTAGCAATGGATCTAAGGTATTAAAAAAATTAAGGTACCAGTGGATTAAAAGTGGCAGTGGATTTAAGATAGCAGTGGATTTAAGGATACAATGTATGTAAGGGAGTAGTGGATTTAGGTAGCAATGAATATAAGGTAGCATGAGATTTAAGGTGGCAGTGAATTTAAGGTGCTCGTGGATTTAAAGTGGCCATGGATTTATGGTGGCACTGGATTTAAAATAGCAATTGATTTAAGGTAGCAATAGATTTAGGTCTGCAGGAGATTTAAGGTAGCAGTGGATTTAAGGTTTAAGTAGGTTTAAGGAGGCATTGGATTCAAGGGAGCAGTGGAGTAAAGAGGATGAGAGGAATTGATCTGATTGGCTGTGGCTGCAGAACGCCTAACCATGCCTTTTGATCAGGAATTCACTGTAATTCCGCCCCTACAGGTGCACTGCTCTGCGCTAGGTCAGAGCCTGCACTGCCGGTTACGAAAATACAAATATATTTACCAGACCAACACACCAGATCTGTAATTTTTCAACAAACAGTACTACACTATAGAAAGTCATTCAGATAGTATGATTTCTATTATGTCATGATTTCATTAAAGACAAAGCTTGCTGTGTTGACACAATTATGATGAGGAAAGCAAGACGATATGGCAAAAGCCATAATGGTTTGATTGTTCCAATACTGGATCACAGACATATTAGAATAGATTACAGTAGATTTTAGAAATAATCAAGTAGTGATTGCTTGCAAGCTCAGAGTGGGTAGATCTAATGGTAATAAAAGCAACCTGGCCTATTACTCACCGGCACTTTGAAAGGTGAGGAGTTTGGTCCATCCACAGAGACATTCTTCTCCGAGCTGCCCAAACCGGAGATACTCCTCCGCCTGGGGGAGCATTCTGCAGACACTTCTGTGGACAGAGGGGACATCAAGAGGGATTAGACTAAAGGACAAAAAAGATAGAGGCCCAAGACTGTCAGCTAGGAAAAACAGAGGGCTATGATTTAGCTCCACAAAAACAGAGCTTTGTCACTGGGATGGCTCTGCAAATATCACATAAGGCTTTACTGTGAGATATTGATTACAACAAGGTGCCTGCTACTTCAGATAGCGCCCATCTTTACATTTTTCAGCAAGCACACTGAAAAGTAGTCTTTGATTACATAAATCAAGGTGTTCACAAGACCTGGCAAATGTCAATATTTTTGTTTATGATAATGCAGGCCAATCTTGTTGATGTTATAATATTAATAATGTTAGAGCACTACACAAAAGACAGAGACCATCCCTCATTTATTTAATTTTCATTCAAAACATTCAAAAGTCATTATGTACCAATTATCCATTTTTCAGTGCCAGGGAAAAAGGCAGAAAACATATTTGACAGACAACTTCACAGAAGCCTTGACATATAAATATAATTTTGAGAATTAATATGTCTACCCTTTGTCTTTATTACAGCTTCTTTTTTCATTCTTTTTGGGAGACTTGCTTTCCGTTTTTCAAAGAAATCTGTAGAATTGTTTTTCCCCACACCTCCCAAGTTCAGTCTTAGAAATGGCAGCATTTTCTGCTTCTCAATGATGTTAAGGTTCTGGGCTCTGGGGTGGTCAGTCCATTGTTCTGGGAACACCAGCATCTTCTTTGTCTGATTTGAAATTTCTATTTTTGTCCATTTCTTTTTGTCAGTAAAAGCTTCTTGACAGCTGTGCATGGTAAAAGTACAGTAAAAGAGCTTTGATCTTTGAGAAGTAGGAAAAAAAATGATTTTGGTCTACCAGGTCATGCATGGTTGTTAGGAGTCCAACTTTTTGTTATGTCATTTCATTATTTTTTGAACTCCAGTTTTGGAAACTCCTGTTTTTTTCAGTTATCTTCATTTAACTTTTCCATTCATTATGCAAGACAGATGTTCAAATTCACCAAATGTACACCTTAGGTCTACTATGACAGGGGTTTCTACTGACATAGGAAACTGTGGTGGGCCAAAATGCATCTATAAAGTACAGGGTGCTTCATAAAGATTCATCCGATTTCAAAGCGCCATATTTTTACAACCGTGGAACCAATCACATACCAATTGAAAGAGGGGTTCACAGAGTTTCTGACTGCCACCGGAACATGGCTCTCTTCAGTCTGCGAGGAAATGGTGACCCCTGAGCAGAAAACGTTTTGCGTTCTCCACTTCAATAAGAGTGAATCCGTCATAACTATGCAACGTGATTTTTGTTGGCAGTGAACCTCCAACAGCTCAGAGCATTCATCGTTGGTTCTAAAACACTGAATGATCTCCGAAATCATATTGAAATAGCCGTAAGTACAGTGACACCTATGGGATGAAGTGGACTATCACGTTGATGTTGTCCGTACAGCTGGAGGAGGTAATATTGAGCTCTTGTAAAATTACATAATAAACTTCATGCTCACTTAAACTATTTATAATTTACTGCATTGTTCTGCAATGATTTACAAGTGAAATAAATCATTTTGAGAAGGGATGAATCTTTTTGAATCACCCTGTATATACACACATTTAATTTCGTTTTTAGGTCCACAATTTAAAATAAATGATGAAAGGGCTCAAATCTTGTCATCTACACACATGCATACCCACATACAGTAAACAAACATACATTTGGAAAAGTAGGCACAAGACAGGCTATGGTTTGGACGTGAAACACACTAGAGGAGATTTCAGCCTCATAATGCCAAAACTCAAACACTTCATTCAGGTTAGATAGATATAAAAATTTGCACTGGCCACTCAGGCCACCAACCCAATGAATCTTGAGGTAAAAATTAACAATTGGTGGCCAGAATTATAGAACATATTTATTGTCATGTTTATCGTATATACATTGTATGATGTGAGGGGATCCTTGTTTTTCATGATACAGTCTTATAGATTTTTATCATTCGTTCCTGCTGACCGACTTCAGTCTTCAAATGGCTTTGATCAGTCTGCCCCGGAAGTTTGTTATAGGGATCGCTGATATTCACTTCTCTATGACAGTGCTTGCTTTGAAAGCTTTGGCTGTGCTATTGGATATTGTGTTTTCAACAAGTTACGAGTAAAATGAGTCGCCAAATAGCAACGTCTGAAACGTGGAGTTATACATTCCCTGTGTGAGTGGAGCGATCGGCAATCTGTTCTCCTGTGACCAAGAGTGAGTGACAAGATAAGTGGTGTAACTGTACTGTCCTACAGCAAACTCACCTAACATCCTAACAAGCTTTAGCAGCGTTAAATTGCGTCTGCTCCTCCCAACTACAGCGCTGTTACAGCGCCAAACATATTTTAGTATTAGTGCACTCGCGAGCAACGAAAGTGAAAGAATGAAGTGAGTTCATGCAAGTTACAGCCCTGATTTGAACAAAAGTAAACTGAAGAAGCTGCGAGGCATTGGAGAGAGGGAGAACGCTAGCTTCCCATGCTAGCTGTTTTTAGCAGCTGGCTAACTCGAACCAGCACTCCATCACTTGCACAACATGGTGAATTGATGTTACTGTAGATCAAACAAGACACAAAAGCACCGCTTTCAGTTTAAACGTACCTAAAAGGAAGACTCTGTTTGTCTGGTGTTAGATATATTTCAGTTCACCCCTCAAACTACTATAGAGAAATCCAGACATCTGCTAGTTGGTGTTTGAATACTGTGATGTGCTCTGACATGGATGTGGTAGGAGTGATGGCTACAATGCGGGTGATCCATCACTGACTTACCGAGCCAGCTAATGTTTGCTGTTCGTATTAAGCTGACATTGTTAAGGAACTAAACGGTTTAGCAAAATAATCTGTTTTCTTTCTTAAATTATGACTATTACAAAAACTGCGGCTGTGCTTTTCTAGCTGGTAGTAACAGCTAAACAGCTAATACGCTTTCTCTCACTCTCCCATAACAGATTTGTGAATTGTTCCACTGTTTGGCAAGTGTTTGTCACATTCTGACCATAAAGGATATTTGGAAACCACAATTAACCACTCAGGAGCAAAAATCAGCCTTCAAACTTGAAAGAAATAATGATTTGACATTTATCGCGATATGTATCGATATCGAACAATATGAATTTTGTTTATCGTGATAACATTTTTGGCCATATCGCCCAGCTCTAATTTTACTTAACTTTCAAAATGATTTTTGGTATGTTTTAGCTATATATTAGCTATTGTTTTACTTATTATTGTTTTTATTCCTTTTATTTATTTGTGTTTGTTTATTTATTTTAGTCTTTATTTATTTAATTGTTGTCAATTTATTGTCTTACATCTATTTTGTTTTATTTCATTAATTTGTGTTTTGACTTATTTTATCCTTATCTTATCAGTTACTATATTGTAATTTTAATGCTTTATTGATTTAACACTTTATTGGTATCTCCTTATTATAAAATTTTATTTTAATGAATTTTTATTATTTCATTATGACATTTTATGTCTTTTTACTACACAACTTCTGAACCCCTGATTTCTGCATTGCTTGGCTGGCTACATTGTAAATGAGGATCTCCGTCAATGTATTCAGAGTTTAAATAAAGGTTGATTAATTGATTGATTGAAACGCGTTCATCCTCTGAACATCATTTGTTTTCTTTTTTGTAGGCATCATTTTATGATTCTTCTTTTTTTTTAAATCAGCACTGGCAAAACCCACCATCACTGCTGGCTATGAAGAAATGCTCAGAGTTTTAGAAATAAATTGTGACTTGCTGTGACATTAGCTCATTAGGTGGGAAATCAGACAAAATTTAATTTGATACAATTGTGTTCAACCAAACATGCTTTGGATTTCGCATGGGAGGGTAAAAAAGTATTTGTATTGTTATTAATAGTAGATATTTATGAATATGTGAATTTTATACCATTCAGCTGAATCTACTTACAAAGCAGTAGAAAAACTCCAGCACTTATTTAACACCTTGCAGACTGCAGGCAGAAGTACAAATTATTTTTAAATGCCAAGAAAACTTTTTTAGTTTATGTTGTTTTCCAGATCTTCAAATATTGATTTTTAAAACTGTGAACATTACTACCCTGGTTTCTCACATACACATTATGAAGTATTCAGTGCAACTTAAACTATACATTTGCAGATTGTTATTGATCCTTTGGACAAGTGATTTTGGGCTTTAGACCGAATTTCAGGCCCATGATACACATAGCCATTCTGACAATCTGTATTATACTACAGAAAGTGACTGGGATAATATGACTTTTACTATTTCATGTTTTCATAAAAGACAATGCTTGTTGCGCTGACAAAATTATGAGGAAAGCAAGAGGATATGGCAAAAGCCTTAATGGTTTGCAACCTGGCATACTGATTTTAGGACTGTGAACATTACTACCCTGATATGATCCAGCACTGAGCGAGGGACAGAGTACAAGTACCTTGGCAATCGGCTGAATGAGAAACTCACACTTAAATCTCATATTAATAAAACTAGTCAGTAAGTGTAGGCAGAGACTCGGATTCCTTTATCGAAATAAGTCTTGTCTGCCTATGTATGGCAGAAAAAAAGTTGTGGAGGCAACTTTACTATCAGTCTTGGAATATGGTGATGTAGTTTATAGATATGCATCCAACAGTACCCTCCAATCACTAGACTCAAGCTATGACTCCACTTTGAGATTAATTACTGGTGACCCTTACAACACTCACCACTGCACACTGTATGAAAAAAGTTGGTCTTCACCAGCAGCACAACAGGAAATACTATTTTATTTTTATTTGAGTGTTATTTGAAAAATATATGCCCATTTTGAATGTGACGCCAACAACATGCTCCAAAAAAGCTGGGACGGGGCATGTTTACCACTGTGTTTCATCACCTCTGTAAGCGTTTGGGAACTGTTGAGACCAATTTATGTAGTTTTGAAAGTGAAATGTTTTCCCATTCTTGTTTGACATA